TTGACCTTGAACAACCCAGGGGTTCTGCATACTGGAAAATACCCAGCATGGATGAAGTGCTCCAGCAGACTTACTGGAATGAGTTTGACCTGTGCCGCTTGGGTGACTTGCGAGATCCCCAAACTGGCGAAGCAATTCGCAAGAGACTGACAGTCATTTCCACCTCTGAGGACATGCATGTCGCATTGCATGGCAAGCTGTGCCAAGGCCAACATCACCATAGACACATTGCCGGAAGCATTCGAATAAACAATGAAGTAATCAAGACTTCCAAATGGACCGAACTTTATCCCCAAAAGTTTGCTCGTCAGGTTGGAAAAATCATACTTCATGATTGTCCGTTGCAGGTGCCAGTAATGGTTGGTGAAGATGAACACCCCACAAAACGCAGACGGCTTGGGTCCAAGCTGAGTCCACTGGCCATTGAAGCACGCTTTGGAAGCAATGCGAGTGACATCAATTGGCAGACAGTCATGCGCCTGGCCGATCAAACGGCACCACGAGTCGGGACCCATGTTGTAGACCAAGGTGAGATTATCCAACAAATCCAACACATATGTCCTGAATATCTCATCAAACATGTGGTTTTATGTCGAGGAACTGATCGGTATGTTGGTCCTAATCGTCCGATGTTGCCCCAAACTGCACCGTTGAGACGCCAAATATGCATCCGTAGGCAAACACAGGACATACATGTAGATCCATGGGAAGCCTGGGAAGCCTTGTCAAAGAGAAACCTCAGGAAAAAGGGAGTTCCAGCTCGAGTCAGTCTCACCGTGTTTGCAGCAGCCCGACAGCCTGAATCTCCCGACAATCGATTGCCTCGAATGCTGCCTCCTGCCGATGTCACCAATGCTGGGGCGCAAAGACGCTCACATGAGGCCTTGGAAACTCCTGGTGATGCAGACCACCGTGCCAAGCGTTCCCGAGGAATTGAAAATGAGAACATGTCAGATCCCACAGTAACACCTGCACCACAGTCCACAACCACAGCCGAACGCCAAAATGAAGCCACGTCAGAAACTCAGAATGAAGAACCCCCACAACATGTCATAGACATAGCCAGCCAAAAGCATGGACCAATGTTCAACAGCCTGAAAGTTGATGAACAAAATTGGCTATTGAAACTGCATCGGAACCTTGGACATCCAGGAGCGACCAAGCTAGCGGAGTTTTGTAAACAACTCCAATGCCCTGAGCATCTTTTGAAGGCCATTCATGATCTCCGATGTTCCACTTGCCAGGAGACCAGAGGACCAGTGGTATCACGGCCCAGTGCGATTCATGAAACATGTGATTTTGGTGATGTTGTCTCGATGGATGGGATTACTTGGACCAATCAAAGTGGAGACCATTTTCACTTTTACCATTTCATTGATCAAAGCACGTTGTTCCACACAGCCGTAGCCACACCCGGTCGATCCACGGATGATGCCTGCAAAGCATTGTTGACAGGGTGGTTCAACTGGGCAGGCCCTCCAGGCCTATTATGCGTTGACTCTGGAACAGAACTGAACTCAGATGAGTTCAGCAGTTTCTTGCAAAGGCATAGCGTGAAGTGCAGGACATGTGCAGCCGAAGCACATTGGCAGAATGCTCGAACCGAGCGACATGGTGGCATACTCCAGCTGATGTTGAAAAAGATGGACCATGAACAACCCATTCGAACATATGAACAGCTAGCCGTAGCCCTTAGCCATGCGACAAGTACCAAAAATCAATGGAGTAAATACAAGGGATATCCTCCTGAAATGCTTGTATTTGGAAAAGGAGTTCGAGTACCTGGTTCCATCACATCAGATCCCACGGTTTCGGCACATTCAGTTGCACTCTCCAATATGCCTGAGGGAATTCGATTCCGGCAAGACCTTGCCACCAGAGAAGCTGCGAGGAAAGCCTTTGCCGAAATTGACAACGATCAGACGCTGAGACGAGCTCTGGTACATCGCAGTAGGCCACACAGAGGCTTCTATGATAGAGGAGATTGGGTCATGATGTGGAAAAAGAAAGGTGAAGCTGATGGAAATTGGCTAGGCCCTATGCAAGTCATTATCCAGGAGGGACAAAATGTCATTTGGGTTACAAGACACCACAAGCTTTACAGGGTACCCCCAGAGTACATCAGAAGCTTGTCAGCCTTTGAGGAATTCAAGCATCAACCACATGTGACCCAAGCTGAGGGAATCCCAATGAGTATCCGACCAGCACATGGCGGAGTCCAGTTTCATGACATGATTTCTCAGGATAGCCATCAGGGCCCAGCTGTTGCTCCTGCCATACCTGCAAATTCGATGCCTGGACCCACAAGGGGACACTCCGATGAGGTGCCAACGGGTGAAACAAATAGACAAGACCAAGAATCTCTGAGTGCTCAATTACCTAGCCCTCAAAATGACCAACCAGACCATGAACCAGAAGTTCCTTCCATTTCCAGCTCCACACCAAGCCATCAAATTGACAATCCTGAACCCATTGCGACACCTGCACATGAGATTCCCGTCCCAGACACCTCTGATGAAGGTGAAAGTTTATATACCCATGAAGAACCATGTTTTCACCTCCAGGAGGATCAGATGTATCGTTTTGAGATCAATGTCATGCAGAAGGATATTAACCACTGGAGAGAGGAAGCTAGGCCAGAAGAAATGGCATTTTTGGTTTCTGCCGCAAAGAGACAGCGAAGTGAGGTGAAAATTTCCACTTTAGGAGTTCATGACCGAAAACTGTTTGAAGAAGCAAAGGCAAAAGAAGTGGACAGTTGGCTTTCAACCAGTACGGTATGCCGAATTCTTCGACACCAAGTGCCTACCGAGAATATCTTGCGTTGCCGTTGGATCCTCACCTGGAAAGAGGCTGATGATTCAGGAGTGCCAAAAACAGCACACCTATCGCGCCAAAAGGCCAAAGCGCGACTTGTAGTGCTTGGATTTGAAGACCCGATGGTTGACCAGATCCCAAGGGATTCACCAACAATGTCGAAATTGTCAAGGGTCCTCATCCTCCAACATGCTGCAAGCCGAGGCTGGGACATACACAGCTTTGATATCAAGACTGCCTTCCTTAGAGGAACTGAAAAGAGCAGCAGGATTCTTGGATTAGAACCTCCGGCTGAAATGCGAACGCAAATGAAGCTGAAACCGGGGGAAATTGTTCGGTTGCTGAAAGGGGCATATGGCAGGGTTGACGCGCCATTTTTATGGTTCCAAGAGTTGAAACAGAGCCTTGAACAATTGGGGTTTGAACCTACTCCTTTTGACCCTTGTGTGTTTATTCTCCGAGATCAGCAACAGCAAGCCGAAGGTTTAATTGGTATTCATGTAGATGATGGATTATGCTGTGGATCACCACGATTCCACCAAAAGCTGGCCCAACTCGAAGCCAAGTATCCCTTTGGAAGCAAGAAGAGCCGAGAATTCACGTTCACTGGACTTCGAATCTCTCAACAAAAGGATCAATCCATTTGGGTGAGTCAAGAACAATATGTAAAGGATATACACCCAATAACAATCCCCAAAGAGCGAAGAATGGTTCCACAAGATGCAGTGAATGAAGGTGAGAGACAGTCCCTACGTGCGTTGGTAGGTTCTTTACAATATGCTGCTGTAAATACTCGTCCAGATTTGTGCAGTAAGCTCGGATGGCTCCAGTCTCAGATCAATAAGTGCACGGTTGGTACCCTCATTGAAGCAAACAAAATTCTCCATGAAGCAAAGATGTTTGCCTCAGTTACAGTGAAGATACAACCGATACCACTTGACCACTTGAGATTCGTGGCCTTCTCAGATGCGTCGTTTGCCTCAGAAAAGGTTCCCGATTCTCACCAGGGAATGCTCATCATGGCCAGTCACAAAGACATCGGTGACAACAAGAACAGTCCCGTGAATCCCATTGTTTGGCATTCAAAGAAAATTCAAAAGGTGGTTGTCAGCACACTCTCTGCAGAAGCGATGTCACTGGCAGGAGCGGTGGACATTTTGTCCTGGGTTCGTTTATACTGGGCTTGGTTGCGAGATGGAAAATGCAAATGGCAAATGGCCGACGACACACTCATGCGTTTGCCACCGGCGTTTGCAGCGATACCTCCTTCCGAAGAAGAATCCAACTTCAATAACACACCTAACCCTGACCTACTGAAACAAATCAACTTCAAAAACAAAGATATCATCACCACTGACTGCAAGTCACTTTTTGACCTTATAAGTAGACATGCACCACCGTCATGCCAAGAATTTAGAACCTAACTTCAAGCAAAATTGATAAAGGAACACCTGAACAATGGAATCATGATCAGATGGGTACCATCACAAGCTCAACTAGCAGATGCGCTCACCAAGTGCATGGATGCCAGTGTTTTGAGAGAATGTATGGAAAGAGGCCGCTACAGTCTCCACGATGAAGCGCAAATCTTGCGTGCCCGCTCAGATTCCCGAGCACGATTGCAATGGCTCCGAATGATGTCCAGTGATTCCAAAGGGGATGGAAACAGTCTCTCCCATAATGGAAAAGCCAAGCCGTCCATTCAGTGAGAATCTTACTCTGATTTCCTGTTAATTTTGTGTTGGTAGCTGCCTTTACGACAGACAACTGGGGAAGCGAATCACTTTGACAGAATGGCGAGCTGATGCATCTCGAACAAAAAGAGAAGATTGGGAATCACAAACCTATGCCTGTTCGAGATGACCACTTGCACATGTTCCGAAGCCAGGGAAGGCTCAGTTGTGCCATAGGTGGGAGGGCGTTTTACGCTTGAGCCATCTTCGTGGAAAAGCTGCGGTATCATTCCTACAGGGCTGGGATTCATCTGTTGGCAGGGACCCAACAACTTGGTTTACAGGGATATCAATATTGGATCAGGGATCCGTACAACAGTTGTTGGCTTGCTACCAATCTTTCGAGAATATATATTTTGATATTAACAAGTATACAGTTTACCACATATCTATATATATATATATATATACACCGCGAATTCAGAGGCAATGGAACCACTGACGCGCAAGGTGTGGAGATGTCCCATCTCGGGAGATTGCTGGTCACCCTCGCCTGGGACCCTTTTTAGTTTCCCCACATCTCTTAGATCATTGTCCGGGAAACCCATGGACGTTTTCCCCATCTTGGATTGACCGGGTATCATATGTTTATATATTAATATATATATATATATATACATGGCCGGCATGGCTACAATGCTTTGCAGATTTTGTTTTGCTCTGATGAAGTTATTTCGTTTTCCGATTCCAGTTTCAAGGGATTTGGTGTTTTGTATCCTTTATGAAGACGTTGGGGCTGAAAGCATGCGCATTGTCTGATATTCAACGCGTGTTATTGTTGTTTGGTTTGCATGCTTGCGGCAATTTCTGTTGTCACATCTTTTGTGTTGAAATTCATGCAGAGCCCAGTGTGGCATTTTGGTGAATCATTACTGATCTTTGAGACTTGAGGTTGGCTCCACCAAGCTTTCCAAGGAACCATCAGGCAGTTTGAGTCCATGAGAGGTCATTGTTCATATTGTGATAGCCAAGCGTCTCCAGAAATTATTGTTATCAAAAATTTTCAAAGAACACAGTGACCTGCCAGGGGTTTTTTCGTCAGGATGAAGTCTCTTTGGTCCAGCTTGAGCCGTTTACGTTGTCCCAATATCCAGCTATGGTATTTGCAATGTTGCCTCGGACGCTAGATCCAACGAAACTTAGTATCGCAATTGCATCTCTTACCAGTCTTACCATTTTACTTTCCAGCGTTGAATTGACCCTCACATATCCTTCCATGTATTACATCTAACAAAGGTGTGTGAAATTATTCATCCGATCAAAAAGTTGACCAGTTTCCAACTTGTTTGGGGAGCCAGGTGGCTGCCCGACTGGCCTTGGCGGGTGATGCTTTTTCCTTGGCAGATGCTGTCGAAGGAGCTTGGCTCTCTGGTGAGGCGCGAATGTGTTCACCATATTCCAGGCTAAGGTGTGGAAAGATGGGGCAAGAATGAACATGCTATATATACATCTAATATATGTATATTTATATATTATATAATATATATATATGAATATAACATGAATGAATTGACCTGGTCTAGATGTGCCTTGTTTTGACGTCAGCAAGCAGATTGCATAGAAGCTTGACAAACAGGATTCGGCCGGATGTATGCAACGACCCAGATGTAGGGAACCTCCCTTCGCTTCGCCTGCGGGGAGTTCCGATTTTACGAAGGTGTGGAACCTTTGCACAATGTGCACCTGCGGGTCGTGGATCATTTCAGTGGGAAAATGATAGGAGCAGTTTCGTGTAGCAACCAAATGACTGTTTTCTTGCAATGTCGCTGGCAAATCCTGTGTGTCAGCTTTGTTTTAAGTGAAGAGCAAAAGTCCTGACAAACATGGAGCACATGTAATTACTTGAGATACTAGACCATGTTGCGGTATGCAATGTGATTTGCTTTCTTTCTTGCCTTGGTCCCTCAACAAGTTGTCCCAAAGCAAGACTCTGCAGAGTCAGACACAGGGTCTTGCTATACAAAGATCTGGTGCCATGTCGATCTCCGAATCGCTGATACGAAGGACTTCCAGCTCAAAGCGTGGAGACTTGGAAGAAACTTCTTTCGTTGCTACTCGTATTATCTCGTATTGTTTTTTGCGGTTGCACATAGGAATTTGTCACACATGAAACATCATGCACATCGCGCATCATCACGCCGCATCATGCAACATCATGCAACATTAGTATGGAACATCATGTAACATGGTATGGAACACCTGGATGCATCAGTTGCAAGCTCCGAGGAAAGACATGGCGGACAGTCCTGGAGGAGCAGATGCCGATCCTCGTGTGGTTGCCGCGATATCCCAAGGAGAATCTGTCAGTAGACTTTGCTGGAGCGATGACTTTGGGGTGCATCCTGATAGGCCGGGGGGCAACGTGGAACAAGGGCAACATGACACCCTTTTTATAGACTTATTGTAAATTACAGAATCATAGATACCATGGAAACATGGGAACATGGCATAGAGATACACTTAAAAAATTGTATTCTGCCTTTCACCTGTTCATTTACTGGTGGTTTTGTGACTTTGTCACAAAGAGATACTAGTTTGGGAACCAATCGGGTGTTGTTCCTTTCATGCAGCATGCTCTTGTGAAGCCATGATCTTCTAAATGTCTTCAGTACTTACAGGATGACTTTCTCTTCAAATCCATCTATCGGAATGATGCAGCTCAACCCAGTGATGCAGCCCTGTAAATGTTTCAGCAATCCACGGTGCAGCTTTCAAACCATAGACTCTTCTGAAAGATCTGAAAGTTGTCCAGCATCTCATTTCGACCACATTGGCCCAAGCACAGCTTGTGAGCACGGGTGGTCCGCCCACCTCACGATGGCTTTGCAGATCATTGGGCGATCCGCAACAATGCGCATGGCCACGCCATGCGCAAGAATCATGGCAAGCTGTGGATGGTCAGCTGTGGAAGCCAAAATCCAGTCGAAAGTTCAGCCAAATCATGCTTTGCCGATGTGGACACCATGGACACCTCACGCTTTGTGTCTCCAAAATCGTTTCCAAGACGGTGCCTTGACTGGCATCTCTGGCATCTCTCAGGTGAAGCTTGAGGTCCCCGGAGTGAACCAAACTGCGATGGAGGCCGTCCACACTCGGAGGCAGCTGCGGAGGTGGAAGTATCGTCGGAAGCGAGATGGTGGCAAGGATCGAAAGTTCCGACTGAAGTATGGCTGAGGTTCAGAATCCCAGAGTCATTCGGAAGCCATGCTGTACATTGCTGTACCATGTGATGCCAGTTGGACGTTTCACCAGCAACTTATCGTTGTTGAACATGTCTTTCAATCCATAAACTACTCATTGGAGCTTAGAGATGGCAGCGGCAGAAAATATTGCAGGGCCGGGCCAACAGGGCACAACGGTCGACCTGGATCTGGCAGTACTTACAACATCAACTGATCTGAAAGTTTCGGAATGTTTCCCAACTGAGTTCAGAGGTTTCATGATGCTTTTGGGATGCTGCATCTTTTGACTGGCAACCTCGGTAAAACACCTCGGTAAAATATAATGACTTTGTCACAAAGAGATACTAGTTTGGGAACCAATCGAGTGTTGTTCCTTTCATGCAGCATGCTCTTGTGAAGCCATGATCTTCTAAATGTCTTCAGTACTTACAGGATGACTTTCTCTTCAAATCCATCTATCGGAATGATGCAGCTCAACCCAGTGATGCAGCCCTGTAAATGTTTCAGCAATCCACGGTGCAGCTTTCAAACCATAGACTCTTCTGAAAGATCTGAAAGTTGTCCAGCATCTCATTTCGACCACATTGGCCCAAGCACAGCTTGTGAGCACGGGTGGTCCGCCCACCTCACGATGGCTTTGCAGATCATTGGGCGATCCGCAACAATGCGCATGGCCACGCCATGCGCAAGAATCATGGCAAGCTGTGGATGGTCAGCTGTGGAAGCCAAAATCCAGTCGAAAGTTCAGCCAAATCATGCTTTGCCGATGTGGACACCATGGACACCTCACGCTTTGTGTCTCCAAAATCGTTTCCAAGACGGTGCCTTGACTGGCATCTCTGGCATCTCTCAGGTGAAGCTTGAGGTCCCCGGAGTGAACCAAACTGCGATGGAGGCCGTCCACACTCGGAGGCAGCTGCGGAGGTGGAAGTATCGTCGGAAGCGAGATGGTGGCAAGGATCGAAAGTTCCGACTGAAGTATGGCTGAGGTTCAGAATCCCAGAGTCATTCGGAAGCCATGCTGTACATTGCTGTACCATGTGATGCCAGTTGGACGTTTCACCAGCAACTTATCGTTGTTGAACATGTCTTTCAATCCATAAACTACTCATTGGAGCTTAGAGATGGCAGCGGCAGAAAATATTGCAGGGCCGGGCCAACAGGGCACAACGGTCGACCTGGATCTGGCAGTACTTACAACATCAACTGATCTGAAAGTTTCGGAATGTTTCCCAACTGAGTTCAGAGGTTTCATGATGCTTTTGGGATGCTGCATCTTTTGACTGGCAACCTCGGTAAAACACAAGAAGGATCTGGTGAGTTTGCAGGTCAGTCACTGGCTCACGCAAACTTGTGCCAAACTCAGCCTGCAATTGCAGTGAATGAAGGCCTGATGTTATTCTCAATCTATTTGTGGCTCTTGTAGTTAGCATGCAGGTTAAACATGCCGCGTGTTTTTTTGTTAGCCAGGTATTTTTGACTTAGGTGTATGGTGAACTTGATCAATGGACCTTACAGACTCTCGACCGCAAAGGGGCCGGTTTGCAGAGGTGTGGAGTGTGGCAGGCGTTTTCCAAAAAGTTGCAGCATGCATTCATCGCATATCATGATCTAGTTGCATATATTATATATAATATATCTCGACTCAATATGACTCAATGACGTGGGCGTAGCGTGGGTTTTTTATTCCGAAACATTTTTTGCCGTACTGATCCGTACTGACACCATGTCCAAGTCTTTGAGGGCATAAGGTGACTCTGCCAACAGCTCAGGCTGCATGCTTCCACCAATTGTGTACGCCTTTTTTGGCACATGTCAAGAACCTAGCACCGCAGGACACCAGAAAACGCCAGAAAACAGTTTGTTTTTAGGATGTCGCTGCTTCTTTCCATGAGCAGAAATTGCAGCTATTGTTGTCTACGCACTGACTCTTGCATGTCAGTTGGCAAACTTTTGTTTTCTTCCTTGACATATTGGAATCTGGCAGCCCTTCGCAGTTGAGTCTTTCCAGCCCAGCGGAATCAGGTGTCCATGCATCAGTTGGCACTGGAGGACTTGTGAGCCTTTTAACTGGTGAGGCCGGAACGCGCAGGGTGACCGTTGATGCCATCAGACAAATACAAAAAGTGATGGAACTTATGGTAGGTGAATGTCCTACAAAGTAACCATTATGGGTTCAATCCCAACTGCCGGGTGAAGATGAAGATGAATGATGTAAACCATTGTAAACCATTGTAACCATTGTAAAAAAATGACGTGGAAACCGGACTTCCCTGCAGCCTAGCATCAGGACATTCACATATCTCCACCATCATCCATGATCCATCTACACCCATCACCTGGAGGTGATGTCAGACCAGGGGGACTTGGCCGAGCGCACCAAGAGGGTCGCCATTCTCACTGCCCTGGTTGGCAACTTGCCCGAGATCTTTGGAAGGACAGGTCAAAATGGCCTGAGATTGCATTCAATCGATCAATTTAGGATTAAGAATCCCCCGAGTTGACCTTGTTTGATGTGCGGCTGACTCAGCCATTCTTGTTTGGTTCTCTTTATAAATCATAGGAGAATATATGTAAGCTAAGGTATCAATGTGTACATGTTGTTCGTGTTGAATTAGTCCCAAAGGAAACCGCATGACAAATTTCCTTTCACTTGTTATTTTTATGAGCTCTCCAGAAAGGATTCTTCAGCAAGTCGAATTGGATTTTGAAATGTCTTGAATATTCCTTGAAGAACCAAGGGTTCATCATGGCCCTCATGGGACTTCTCCAGTTGTCCTTCTTGGTTCGCTTTCTCTCACGACCCGCCCTGAGCGGCCTCTCAGCTGAACATAACACTGTTGCAGTGCTGGATCGTATTGGTGTTGCTTCCCAGTTGGGAAATGTCATGTGCAAGCCGTGCAAGCATGCCGCTTGTTGCAAGTATTTTGCTTGTTGTTAGGGAATGGTTTGGGCGTGAAGTTCGTGAAGCCGACGGATTTGTTCTTGAGTCGTTGGTTCTATGGATTTCTCATCCATCTCCCATTCTGCCCATGTTGTGGTCTGTATGCAGTTTTTCAATAACAAAGTTAAAGCTACTGGTAGGGTTTTTCCACTATATTTTTGTGTAGAGATCCTGATTTTTTTGAACTTGCAGCCACTTGATGCATTTTGTCAGCCAAGGATTTATAACAGCAAGCGCTTTGCTGATTATGCTTTCCCAGGTGCCAATTCGACAATAGAGTAGTGCGACTTGCACGTCGGTGGCGACGTGTTTAACCTGGATAGATTTAATAACAAGTGCTCCACACAGTTCTGTGTCAACAAGGGTTTGATGATCTTCCTATAGTAAGTAATTAGAAGCGATCACTAAGATGGACATGTGGGATGGGCTGATTTGTTGGGGAGGCCCAAAAGTTTACAAGATTGTAAATTGTAACTGATTGTCAAGGCCATTCCGACCAAGCTGCAGGTTGCTCCAATGTTGGGCCTTCCCAACTGGGCGAGCAAGGGAGGCATTCTCAATGTTTTAAGGCGAGGTGCCACTGCAGACAACGGCAAGCTGATGCACATTGATGCACCATAACAAAAGTTCATGAATATCGGCCTGGTATATGTTTTGGTTGTTTTGTAGAGTAGGCTATGAGATGCAATGAATTGAATGCATCTTAGTGAAAGTGATGCCTTTTTTGGGAGAGTTGGTTGATGTTTGATTCAGGCACCATATCAAGTACCTTGAGCTGATGGACCCCGCCACGACTGGCCTCAGTGTGGTTGCAGTCATCTTTTTGATGAATGCCAAGAAGCTTAAGAAGGTGCTTGATCTGCAAGAAATGCATAGCCTCTCCCCATCTTAGCACAAACATGACTCGAATCGGCTTTGACTTTTGGGGTGCTGCACACTCTAATTCTCAGGAACTAATGGCATACCATTTTGTTGCGCTCCGCATGTTTGCATTTTCTGATTTATTTAAGTGGCGTCCAGTTATCTTCCCAGTTTTTCTCTGGACGTCGTTGTGGTTGTCATGGACTGTATTTTTAGTCACCAGATTTTGATCAGTCGCATCCTTCACTGTCCCAAAAGGTGCGCTACTTGAAGTTTATTGGGGACTTCAAGGAGTTAGTCGCTCGGCTGACAGGTCGTGGGATCGCAAGGGTGTGAAACGAGTACAAGAATTCTATGCAATGTATAACGGCCTCAATTCTGAAGCAGAATAGAATGACATGATTATGACTTCAAAGATTCTCAAAACATTGTCAGAATGAAATGGTGCACTACATGGAGTTGGAAAGTGCTCAAATGTGGCCACATGATCCTTATCAGGTCTTGTTAGCGGCTTCAGCAGTCTTTTGCAACTACTACAATCCATCAGTTACTTGGCAACAATTCTATTTGTTTCTCTAGCCAAAGAGCACTTGCATCGCTCAGCAGGTTGATGCGGAACTTCAGATCAAGATTGTGGGTGAGATGCCAGCCGGCTTACCAAGCTTCGTCATGCCTGTCGCTTGCCTCAAAGTGGGTTGCAACGGGATGATACGTCAGTGGGATGATAAGCAAGGGTGCAGTGCCACCAGCACACCGTGCTATGGCATCTTTGTCTTCAGGATGCCGGCGATTTTGAGCAATCTCCTGTTTTGGAAAGTTTTGAGTATGTTAAGAGACATGAGTCAAACAATGGAAGGATACCCAAGTCCAGCAGAATTGTGTCAAGTAGCCTAGCCAAAAAATTATAGTCATTAATCATCATTAATCCTTGGAGGCAACTTGGCCCAGTCCTTCTGCTAAAGGCCGTGTATATTGGCAGCAGCAACTCATTCTCTGGCGGTCACGTACACCTCTTTGTGGTGTTTCGCAGTTTTGCGTGCATCATATGCAATTGCTTGCGCAATTGTGGCAATTTTGCTGCAGGTGCAAAGCCCTGAAGACTGGAAGATCGTGAAGGACGGCAGGTACATGTTCTTTGGGTGATCATAGCCCAAGAATTCAAGGTTTGTGAATAAGCTTCGATATTGCTATTTCTGGCTTGCATCAAAGAACAGAAAAACAGCGACGCTTCCAGTATCTTCTAGTTGTGTACAGCATCATGCTTTCTGGTCTCCCAGCATTCGAGCTCTTCAACTGTGCCAACCGATGCTCCCTGGAGGAGTTGATTCCTGGTGCCATTCTCGTTGCGTTCGTCGTTTTCCTGTCTTCATTCGCTGGGGCAAAGAAGTTTGCTATGCAGGCGATGGGTGGGGTGATGTGGGTGGGTTCAGTTTCCTGAGTCCTATGCAGAGTCACCGTTACTTTTGCATGAATCTGCCTTCGGATCGTCCTCGATTTTTTTGGCTGGTCATTGAGTTGAGCAGCTGGTAGAGAGTGCCAAGGATGGATATCAGATCCGGGCATTCAATGAGCTGCTTGGTAAGCGTTGGTGCATTTCATGTTCATTCATCCCTGCTGGTTCAATCCCTATGCATATCCGCAACTATTGACAAGCTGCCAATGTATCCCCAAATATGGCATGATATCATATGATATCTGTTTATATCTGTTTATGTTGCCTGATTCTTGCCCATTTCTGGGTTGATGTTTCTATGATTTTCAATAGATCTCCATGATTCCGCCAGGCTCATGGGCCTGGGTATTGCCAATTTCGTGGGCGCTTTCTTTGGTGCAGTGCCCACCCAGATCGGCCTCAGCCGAAACTCGACTCAGAGGAGGCTGATGTAAGTTACTGTAAGGTTATGACTCGGTGAGGTAAACGTAGCATCAATACCTCGTGGACTTTCCACTGACCATGAAAAATGGTACATAGTGGCATAGTGACCGTAGTGACCGAAATCATGGTATAGATTCAGTATAGATCTTGATATATATATATATATATCTTGATATGTTTTCCAGGTATATGGAAAATCCATGAAATTCACGCGGTTTAGCCAACAATCATGGGTATTTCACTACTCCGTCAGGTACTTCAGGTTCATGAAACCAATAGCCGCCCTGACCAAATAAGTCAAACCACTGCTGATACCCAGCTCGAGATCTGGCGTTGCACAAGCAGGGTGTCATCAGTGCCGTTCCAAGGCATGGGTATTGCACATCAGGCACGCAGCAGCCTTTGATATCCAGACATTTGGGCGGGAAGGCTGCGATTCGTTTAAGCGTTCAGCAGACGAGTCCTCCGACTACAACCAAAACGGTGCAGCAGCAACTTTGAAAGCAAAACTCAACAAGAATGTCAATGGTGTGCAATACGGCGCCCCCACATGATGTAGAGACTATAATGGTGGTATTGTCGGGCCATGTCAGAGGGAACGGCACACCTGTCAAGTGTTGTGCCACAGGCTGGAATCCGGAGTCAGCTGGGAGCCAACATCCTCGTGGGAGTTGGATGGCTGCATTTGGTGCACAGAAATCAGCATGGGTGGTTTCAGAGGTTGGAATTTCCGAGTGTTTCCCCACTGTTGGTTGAGTTCATTCAGTTCTAAACTCTCTGACTCGCCTGGAGTTGAACTGCCTGGGTGAAAAAGGCCGTTTTCAAAATGAAGACTTGCCTTGAAGGGTTTCAACCTCCTTGCCCGCCTAGGTGGTTGTATGCTTGGGAGTTGTCCTTTTCAGCAGGCGCAGCTGCTTGTTTTCAAAACTGATCACAACATATCACAACTGTGTATTTGCAGAGATTGATGCTTAAGGATTCTGCAATCTGATGTCGATTTTCTTTCAGATCGAGCATGTTTAAACAGATTATGACCATGGGCAGCTGAGATCAGACATATTCATCGAGTCGAATTTTCGTTTGTTTCTTACAGGTACATTGAGCATGTGCCAATGTGCGTTCTGAATGCGATCATTGTGAATGGAGCATCGCACCTCACTGAGTTTGATCAGGCTGGGGGAGTTGAAGAGCAAGCGACATGCACGAAGCTTCACTCACTGTAATCGCTGTTCGAAAGGGAGGTTGAACTGTTGATTTCAGTGGATATGGTGCTAAAGCAGTTTTGCCCCCTGGCGATTCTCTTCTTTTTCCAGCTGCATGGGCTCCTCCTACCTCCTACGAGGCAAAGGACCTGTGGGCTTACGCAACAAACGAGCGGTACAATTGGAAGACACGAGGCCAAGTTTGATTTCTGTCCTTTGCATCGGTTCATGGTTTTGCCAAAGCTGTGAATGGTTGCCCAGTCCTGACTTTCAGGGTGCATGAAACAAACTATTAACTGCATTTCATACTTGGTACTAGTAGAATGCGTGCGAACAGGTAGTTGAAGTTCCTGTGTCATTGCTTGTTTGTGTGTGCAGTGAAGGTGATATGCTCACATGGATCGTCGGCTTCAGTCGCTCAATTCACAGCCTGGAGAGTGCAAGTTCACGATCTTCACGGCTTTTCACACTCAAAATAGCTCGAAGTTTAAGGGACCGATACCCTTGAACCGAGGCTGCACACTTTACTTTGGTGCATTCCAAGGATGCCTGGCTAAAATACTTGCTGCGTAAAAAATCGTCATACAGAATTCAATCGTAATATTTATACATATTTATACTAATTATATATTATATATGTCTATGGTGTTCTCCGTGTTGTCCCAACTGAGGGATTTCTGATATCGTTTCAGACAGTGAGAAGCTTCTTGAGAACTACGACTCAGCCCATGATGGTCAATTCTCCGTCCAATTTTAACGCTCAATAGATGTCAATAGACAGACTGTGCCAAATTCGATCCATGTCGTGCCAAGGCATGCTCTCAGCAGTATTCGCTTCTCTGATAATTATCCTCTACCAGGCTTCAAGCAGAATCTTGACATTAGCAACCTGATTGTTCACTTTTGGCTGTCACTAGTGGGGCCTTGGACCCCTGTGGGAAGTACCAAAATTAGAATAAATGTAAATGGAATAAGGCACGGTGATTGTATCATGGTTTGATTTAACACACTGGTACAGATGATTCAGCAACATGTCGTGGTTGTGCCTGCTAGGTGGTAAATCCGGACATTGTGCAGCTGGGATTTCGAGCCAGTGACCACCTTGAGGATGACAGGCGGGTGTTGCAACGAGGAGAGCGCATGGCGCAATGTTGGTTCATTAGGCAAGTACCCACTGCCCTGTGAAAACAAAGCCAGAGGTTAGTGGCTGGTCTTGATGAATTTTCAAGATGCACAAAGTAAATGCTTTTAAGAAAGGAAGTGGCTAAGATCATCTAAAGTCTTTCCACAGGTTGAATTTTGCAGCCTGATTGCAAAAATGCATACCAAATGCTGCCCATGTTGCATTGGTGCGGAGTGCAGGGCACGGAAGTGGATGGCTTTGGATAGAGAAGGCTTGAGATGCTTGGGATTTTCGCAGTTCACGAAAGGTAGCTCCAGAGGGGCTACCTTGAGTTTTACTTTACGAAGTAAAGGGGAGGGCGGCCAGCCCCGTTACCTGATTCTTCAGGAGATTGCTAGTCATTTTAGTACCCCCCCCCCCTCCACACCTCCCACGCACCCTAAGAGCAGACTCAAAACATTGTAATTTACAGTATTTTTGTTCTTTTCGGATCAAGAAACCACATTTTGCTACATGGTGAAACCTCCGTAAATACCAGTGTTTTTGCTAGGTGCTGGCCAAAAAACACTGTAAATACCGTGCTTTTTACTACCAGAGGCAAAAAACATCGTAAATACCGTGGTTTTGGGCTTCCGACCCGCCAAAAACATCGGTATTTACGGTGTTTTTTGCTCCGAGAGTTGCAAAAACACGCGAAAACACCACCGATTTGACGATTTTCGGCCACTACGGAACCGAGCAAAAACGCTGCAGGGGTAACACCAACACCAACAACAACAACACCAACAGCAACAGCAACAGCAACAACAACAACGACGACGACAACAACAACAACAACAACACCAACACACAACGCACAATGCACAACGCACAACGCACAATGCACAACGCACAACGCACAACGCACAACGCACAACACACAACACACAAAACACACAACACACACACAACACACACAACACACACAACACACACAACAACACACAACCACACACAACAACACACACACAACCACACACAACAACACACACACACACAACACACAACAACACACCACAACACACAACAACACACAACAACACACGCAACACACACACAACGCAACAACGCAACAACGCAACAACAACACACAACAACACACAACAACACACAACAACACACAACAACACACAACAACACACAACAACACACAACAACACACAACAACACACAACAACACACAACAACACACAACAACACACAACAACACAACAACACACAACAACACACAACAACACACAACAACACACAACAACACACAACAACACACAACAACACACAACAACACACAACAACACACAACAACACACAACAACACACAACAACACACAACAACACACAACAACACACAACAACACACAACAACACACAACAACACACAACAACACACAACAACACACAACAACACACAACAACACACAACAACACACAACAACACACAACAACACACAACAACACACAACAACACACAACAACACACAACAACACAACAACAACAACACACAACAACACACAACAACACACAACAACACACAACAACACACAACAACACACAACAACACACAACAACACACAACAACAACAACATCAACAACAACAACAACAACAACAACAGCACAACAACAGCACAACAACAACAACAACAACAACACCACGAACAATACCAACACCAACAACACGACCAACAACACCAACACCACCAACCCCAACCACACCAACAACACTAACAACACTAACAACACCAGAAACACTACCACCACCAACAACACCAACACCAATACCAACAACACCAACACACCAACACCACCAGCACCACCAACACCACCAACACCACAACCACCACCAACCCCAACCACATCGCCGAAGCCTTTCAGTCGCTTTTACCAGATTCCCCTTCATATTTTTGGAAACAAAATGGCCGCGTCGCTTTTACCAGACTCCACTTTATGTATTTTTCCCTCCCCTCTCCCCTTCATTTTTTCTTCGGTTCCTTTTTTGCTTACCTACCTTTCGTGTTCCCCCTCTCAAGTTGTATTTCTAAAAATATTTCTTGTTGCAACGCTAGCCCCAAGGGATGCCTGGATGCCCTGCTCCAGGTGCTACCAGGGAGCCTGGAATCCTGGTCTTGCGTCTCGAAGGCCCCTTGTTCTATGCAAACGTGGGGATTCCCAGGCTGCTTGCCATGCTTGCCACGTAATGATGTGATGTTTTGCGCCACTTGAGAGGATCAGTACATGATGTGACGCTGGTGTCCAAGGTTGAGCGCTTGCAGGAATGGGTGGAGGAGGAGGACTGAGTTGAATCTCATCGCATGGAACGAGAGTTGTATCCTGTTGATTCCTGTGGGGTCATGGGTCATCACAGGAGTTGGAATTGCAAGAGAAGGAAGATATCATCGGCATTGTGCTCTCAGTGCCTTGGCCTTGCTGGCCTTGCTGGCCTTGCTCAGTCTCTTTGCATGGAGAGCATTCGAATTCACATGCATTGATTTTGTTTGGCAGAGGTTGCGTTGGGGCAGATTGGTCACCTCCATAGATTGATGCTGGAAGGACCTGTTTTTGGTTGGTCATGGTTGGTAAAACAGTGTTAACTCGTTGCTTGTTCAGTAGTTCTACTTGTTGTTCAGGTGGCTGCTCAGTTCAAAGCGTAACCGTCCCACACCGTTGCGAACCCACCAAGGCTTCAGCTATTCCCTTCATGGATACCACTGCTATTCACTCCTTGGTAGCCCTTTCCAAGACGTGCCTCGTCTGAGATTTCAAAGGTAAAGGCGGCCTAAAATGCCTAAAGGCGTCAAAGTCAAAGTGATGGCATGTGGCAAACTGCAGTGGGAGAGTGGTCTGTTTCTGGCAGCTAGAACTGTTGTGGGTTGTTGTGGTTGCCCTTGCCCAGGGTCACCAGATTCAGCTCCAGGGTGTTGAACATGTTGAGAATTGCCCCCTTTTTGCTGATGTTTTGACAAGTACGACCTTGACATTCATATATCGTGGAAGGAGGGGGCGGCTTATGGAGGCTTATGGACATGAAATCGGTACATATTCAGAGAAGCATATTTCGACTACATTTTCAAACGGCCGAAACTCCGTGCTCCCTGTGAGCCCTACATGTCCCGGATCAAAATGGCTAACAATAGCATCATAGCAACAATCCCTCAAATCCTTGGGCTTGATCCTTACAGTCAGCGTGCTCGATCTGCCTCGAGGTGTGCTGATAGAGGCACTTTGTTTTGTATGGCCAACACCTTTGGCCAGACAGGGCGCCACTTGCCTTTATTTGTGACTTCATGACGTTCAAATTGACAGGGTTTGCAACCCAAGCTACCACGATGTGTTGGTTCTCTGAAAAGGTGGAACCAGTGATGAAGGTGATTAATCCATTGAAGGAGAATGCAACATGATGCACCATTTTTGGTTGTACTTCCAAGCACGTTCAATTTGGATTGGCGCATGCCAGCTTCGTCCTTGTTGCCGGAATGGCTGACCTCGATTGATACTTTCCCCGGAAGGTTTAAAATCAAAAACAAACCATGTGAAGTGTCAACAGATCGTTTAGATGCTTGGTTTGGCCCACAGGCATTGCACAAGATCAGTTGGAACTAATCCTCGAAGATGCTGTGAAGGATCCCTTTCTCAAATCGCAAGTCCGCAATTGCTCCAGTTGCTTGGCGTTGAGACTGGGAGCAACCGATGTCGATGAGTGAGGTCACATCATATCCTGGATCCTGTTTTGGAATTGATGGGCTCAGGATTCCAAAACACATACAGGCAAGGGTTCAAAAGTGCTGTTCATGAAATGTCATCAGCTATATTCAGTGTTCACCGCACGTATTGGAAGCAACACGTTTTCCGGTCAGCAATGATGGTATTTAGATTGCCCTCGGCTAGATTGAACACAACCGTTTTTGTTCAGAACCCTGACGCTTGACGCTGCATCGTTTACCTGTAAAATCTGAATGATGACAATGCGGAACCATTTTTCTTTGATTTCATTTTTGGGCGCCAAAGTTCTTGAACCGTGCGGCGTAACTCTTTGCATGGAAGCCCCACTGCTTTGATTTTTGTTTGGAACAAGTTTTAATGTTTCGAAATCCACCGGACAATGAACTGGACATGTGCGAGAAGAGAACATGACCTGGCTTTGTTGCGGATGTTTGTACGATTTCATGCTAGGTGTGGACGACTTCATTCTTCTGATTCGAAAATATCGAGAGGCCTGGGACATGTTTTGCCCCTTAAACACCTTATCGCAGGAAGTTTAGAAGTCAAACTTCCGACTTATGGACAGATGCAGCAACAGTTGTGCGAACAGTCAGAGAAGAGAAAGAGTCAGTGGAAAGAAGATCAGAAAAGAGAAAGAGTCAGAGAAGAGAAACAGTCGTCAGAAGAAAGAAGATCAAAGTACGCGAAAAGGTGGAAAAGTCGCGAAACACTGTTTTTCCATAATTTTTCCAATTTTTCCCAACTTTTTGAGGCACTCACCTCTCCTATATAGGTTTCCTATCTTGGAAACTTCCGCCACCGCCTCGTGCGGTACTATTGGTAATTATGACTACTGGATCTAAACTTTGCGAAATTGTCAATCAAATAATTAAGATGGTTCTTCCATGTTCTTCCTGTTTTGGTAAGGAATTGATAGCAAAGCAAATCCACACCGGTTCCAACCTGTGTGGTGCACACAACTGTCGAGAAAGGCAACATTTTTTGACACATATGAACTGTTCATTGTTAGCGTTCCATCAAACTCAAGTCTCCTGTGGTCACAAAAGCAGAGCGTGTTGAGCCTCAAATTTCTGTCAGACCATTGGACAATCAATTTCTCATCGTTTGGTCCGGGCATCAACGATCCAAACCAAGAGTTGCTGGTCCGCAAGATGAACACGTGTTCAAACTATTATATAAACTGGCGTAAACAATGGCGCAAGACACGGTAGACTTTTGGATTCCCACAAAACTACATCTCCGAGAACCCACACCTTCAATTCAATCTTGGACTGGGATCCGGGTTCAAATTAGCCGATGTCATGTCAGATTAGTATTGACAATCAGTTGCCAGCATGCTGTATGATAGTATGTCGCACAGCACAAAATGTCCCATGGGTCTCAGCTTCAATGTGGCTGGGGGGTTGGAGTGAATGTCTGAGCGTGTGTATTACCAGAACCATTTTTCCCAACTTGAAATGGATACTTATTTTGAATAGAAAATTGCAGTTTGAGAACTGATCATGTTCTCACCTGTTCGCCAGAATCTGCAGAACTGCCTCAAAAGGTAGCAGAGAATGATAGGGAAGCATCTAAGGTATCTATAAACCACGTTAAATCACAGTGTCTTGGCATTGTCTTGGCAGTACCGTTTTCCTGGCCCTGTTTCTCTTGGTTTGGCGTCTTTGTTATGTTTTTTCCGAACGCATAATAAGAGCATGTTTTGTTTTCCGCAGCTGAGACATGCTATGACTCTTTTGCTCTCGATGCTGCTACTCTTGGTCATGCTAGTACAGTATATACATGAATACGACCGCGTGTTTTCAGTAGCTGCAGCTGCTTCTATCGTCACGAGAAAATACTAGAGTAGACATCTACATATTACATCATATTAATATATTACTAATATATCAGATATGTTAAATGTAACGTAATGTATATTTAGACGCACTTTGACTTTTATTGATGTCCAATGTTCCGATCGGAAACATGTTGCCAATTTGAATGTTCTTCTGGTGATTCTGCGTTTGTTTGCCTTTCTTTTTCTGGACTTGGTCTTCGTCTCCTCTTTTGCCCTCTTTGTTTTTCTCGCTATTGTCGCTCTCGCTTCAATACAAGCTGACAAAAGTTTGTTCCCGACCGATCGCTGTCCCATCCAAGGGTATGATGGCTATATGGTTGCTGTAAGATGGATTTCCGTGGTCAAGGGCCACAATTTAATGCAGGACGAGGAATGGGCCCCTATGTCTTCCATGCTCTCCGCTTGGCCTGCTATCGATTTACGAAAATCCAGAGTCCCAGAGCGAGAGAAAAACAGTTGGGATCAGTTGGGAACCTTGAGGGTGGGAACTTTGAGCATCGATGCACCGTTGTTTGACTTTTCTCGATAAAGAACCAGGACATGTCCACTTGTTTAAAGGTCTTGATCACTAGTAAACCTATTCCAACTTCACGATCTTCACGTTTCTTACGATACGTGAGTATTTTTTATTTTTGGGGTGTTGCTGCGTATGGAAAGGGCAGAACTGTTTGCTATGAGCATCATGCCTAGTGTGAATCGAATCGCCATTTTACCTTTGTGCTTGGAGGCACCACCCATGAAAGATCAGAGGGAGGTGCCAGTGCTCCCGGTTGGTGTTTGGTTCCCCGCTCCGGTCAATCTCTATGTCGTTACATGTCGTTGTTGTAAGAAATAAGAAAAATTGCTGCTTCAGAGAAGGAGTGACATTTTGCAAGAATGTGAGCAGCTAGGAACAGGATATAGCAGCACACCTTCTTGTGGTTTGGGCATGGGCCGTTTGGCTGGAAAGTCCAGCACAAGCAGTTTCGGGACACTGGGCATCAGGTGCATCCATCCATCATGCAAGCCATCATGAAGTTGGTCCAAGTCCTTCAGTCTGAGCTGCGAGCAGCTTTGGAGGCAGCTGCAGCAGCTGTTTGTTTGTGGCCGATGATGGTGGGAAGACACTGTAAGACGGGTTGAGTATTCCAAAGATGTTGGTTGCTGGCGGGTTTACATATCTGGTTGAACTTGCTCCAGCAAGCTGCCTTTGACTATGCATGTCTATGTTTTTTTCTATAATTTTCTATCTTAATTTAATTTAGATGTGCGCATGAAAATATCTGTCCACTTGGTGCATGTGCAATGGAGACAGATCGAAGAGACTGAAGAGAGTATTGGAGTTATCCTGCCTCGTTCAGAAAAGGTTTCCTTCAGGAGAGGGGTGGGGCCGAAAGTCTATTAGATTCTATTCTCATCTATCCCATAGGATCCATGTATGGTATATATACTAACATTGGGGGTATATTGATGGTAAATGTTACCATATATAGCATACATGGATCCTATGGGTATTAGCAGAGCCATCTGGTGATCTTCAAGATATCATGGTGTCATGTGACAAGCGTTCCATCTGGATCCATTTGGGTCCATCGGGCCTTGGCCAATGGCAATGTCAAGCCCTGATAAATTGGGAGATCCCAAGTGTTGTGATAATATTTGCTTCTGAAATGGCACACCCCAGCCCAGAGGTTTGTGACATTATAATAAATTAATATAAACGAATTCAAATGTATTACAAATACTGTATATATCTGTATATATCCAGGTTTAGCATAGTCTTTTTGAGGATCATAGTGGTACTATGTGGTACTGGCATTCCTGCTAGGGAAGAGATCGAGCCAAACTCTCGGCTGGCTTGGAGATGCTGCGTTATGCCAAGGCCATTCCGGCTATGTCGACCGCGGAGTCTCACAGTGAACGCAAAAGGATGTTTTCACACATTGTCACATAGTATTTAAATATATTTAAATGATTTAAATGTACTTAAATGTACTTAACATAATTTAAGATATGCTGTCACTGTTTTCAAATTCCCCGTGCGGTTTTTGGCATATGTTACATATGTTGATATTTTCGTGATGAACAATTGCGACTCTCTGAGATGCTGTTTCAACTGCCATGTCAGGTGGCCCAACTCCCTGAGGAGGAAGCGGCAACAAGGACGTTGGTGTCCTTGGAATTGGAGGAGGCCATCCAGAACCGCAGTGAGCTGGAACTGAAACAGGTGCGTGGGACATGAGTGATGGAGCTACTGCAGATTTTTGTTGGATGATCATCTGTTTGACACCCGTTTGGGAGAATATTCTATGCTTGTGTTAAAGGGAATTTGTGAAGCATTTCCATGCTGTTGCCTTGCCTGTTCGATGTCACAGCTTTTTGAGCTCGAAGCAGAGAAAGTGAAATGCAGAGGCAAAGCTTTGGAGACGATCACATTTCATCACTGCAATGTCAAGAGCCTGACACAGCACCTGAACCCACCAGCCACCACCTCACCAACTCGCAAAGGGGTCCTAGAAATCCTAGAACACGTCCACAAAATCACACCAACTCTTGCAGCTGACAGTTTGATCATGTTAATTAATGTTTGTTAATGTTTGATATCATTGGACTATTCGACAATGTGGGCATTTCAATTTTCGGCCTCAGATCTCCAGGTTTCGTTCAGAGTCGGCCCAAAAGCGGTCCCGCCATGGGGGTTCTCCAATCCACCAACACCTTGGATGAAGTCAGGACCGTGGCCGCAGTGGCTGGCGATGGCGTAGATACAATGAGCCCTGGCAAAAGGCATCAGAAGCATCAACAAAAAATAGGAGAGATTAGTAGAGTACTTTCATATATTACAATATATATGATTTACATAGATATTCTGATATTGGCTATAGGAATGGGTCATTGTCCAAGACCCTGGAAACCACATTTGTCAATTTCAGTCTTGCCATTAAACCATGCAATTTTCCCCATGCCCTTGTATTTTTGGGCAAGGGACAGCGACATGACGCATCGTGTATCATTTGCATTACCCTGGCTGTTGCATTTTTGAAGGACCATTCCGTTCCTGTCAGCGGCGTGTCCATAGAAATAATCAGCGAAATTATATTGAACAGCTCTCATCATGTCCTTATAGAGAGTGATTTATTATATGTATTTTTTCTTCCTGGCAATATTTGGTGGAGCAATCCTTCGCAGCATAAACTTGCGGCACTTCTTTTGGAAATGTTTGTGATTTCAAGTCCAGAGTGTTTTGAGCTTCTGCACCCATGAAAGGGTAGTGGCCCATGGCGGGGAGAGGAGCAGAGCCGAAGATCGTGTAGGACATTTGTCCGTGGTGGGTAGATATCATCGGCTGCCTGCCCGACTTGAAGATGACTACAACGTTGAGAAGAAGGCATGTGATGCTGACAACATGAGTTATATGAGCCTGGAAGAAGGTTTAGGTATTGGTCGTATTCAGGGGATTTCTTGTTGATTGTTGAGCGATAGAGATTTATTACTGTTCACAAGGCTGCAGTGTGTCTAGGCTTTGCGGGCGAGAATTCTCGAAATTTTGGAGCGTGTGCTACCTGCAGTTAGACTACTTTTCCCAGTTTTTCCAAACCAAAGGCCACTTATAGTCAATATAGTCAATAGCATCCACTAGCACCTAAGCTTGCTGAATGTTTCGAACGAACAGGGAACAAATCCATCAATTTTCATTTTTGCATCTCTAAAGGGAGCTCGTGTGTCCTGACTTGATGTTCTTATAAATCTTGATCGTCTTTGATGTGTTTTGCTTGCCAAGAACCAGCCGCTATGGAAGTAGACTGCACACTTCACCTTTCAAACAAACTCACCGGACAGCACTCCAAGATAACAGCCTGCTGGTTTGAATATGAGTATGGGCCAAAATGATTGAACACCCACTTGACTTTGGGCTGGTTTGTGCGTTTATCAATCCACATCCCATGGTTTATCATCATTGCCCTTCATGTTTCAATACTTGGTTTGTTGGATTTTCTGATGATATATGATGATAAACAGAAACCATCCATTTTCCAATGGCCACTGTTTATACGATAATCCCATGTCTATCAAGTCTGCCGCTTCAGGCGCTCGGCACCGGGTACAACGGCTCCGTGCTCCTGGCGCGTGGGAAGACACGCATCGGGAAATTTGCCGTCAAGGCGAAGCTTCCCTTGTGAGAAGAGTATGAAGAGTTCATTTTTAACGTAATTTTGCAAGGTGATAATTTGATAGTTGTTGAGAATTTTCATTGAACCAATATTATGATAGTTGATCAGAATGTCTAAAAATTGCCAGAAGGGCCATAAGTGACTCTACTAACGCTAGGGTTTAAGTGATATCAGCTTGTAAAAAGTCGTATCGGGAGGCGGTGCGTTTTAAATCACCATGACTTTTAATACTTGTATTGTTTCATGGTTTTGGAGCTGTGTGAGTGGACAATGCTTGATTTTGGTATTGCAACCACTTTCAGTACTTGTATTGCAGAGATGAAACATGTTGTGCCACTTTGTTTGTCCTTTTTTGATGTGACTTTCCACTACCAGATGTAACTTTTCCGTGCTGACGCTTTGCCATGGGGATGTGACTTTCCCCGCATGATGTGACTAAAGTACAGTGTCAATGTACAAGAGCCAAGATGCATCATTGCAATCTTCAGACTATTTCAGACTTCATTCTGGATGGGGGTTGCCCTCCAAACTCATCCAACATTGCCGATGGGGATAGCGAATTGAACGGCAAAACATCAGAAATGGATAGGAATGGTTTTTGTTTGGTTTGCTTTGTCGAGCATATTGGTTTTCATGTTTTTACTGACTTGATACTATAGAAACCAATCATAAGAACGTTCCAATGATGGAGCTACTCTGCTTACTTCATTGCGTGTGCAGGCTTTCAAGCTTCACGGAGTCAGCAAGGAAAAGAAACAGGACTTTGGATGGCACAAACTCTTGCCCAAGGGGTGGCAGATCATGGCAGACACATTGAGATTCTAAGTTATACCATTATAACCGTTGGTGCAGCTTCAATGTGTATTGATTCAAACAGCTGCTTGGGGGGTTGGCAGGAACTGGCTTCTGAAGCCGAGATCTTCCTTAGCATGGACCATCCGCATGTGGTGCGACTCTTTGATGTTTATGAGGACCTGCTCTAAAACATGTTCGACATGTTCGGCCATTATGATAATATATAGACTGTTGCTTGCAGGCCGATGTTGCTGTATGAATCTGTATGATGAATGCTGACGTTCGTAATTTCTGCAGTTTTGATCAGTTGCTCTTAGACGAGTTCGGGCTCCTGGCTGATTGTTGAGAAGTTCAGCTTTGTTGGGAAGTCAATTTGTGCTGAAATAGCCCATGTCTCCATCAAATCCTCTAAATGTCGCTTAAAAAGTAAGTAAGGGCAACACAAAGCTTCCCATGTAATTAATCTAGGACGACCTGTTACACCGCATCAAAGATGTGGGAGTCCTGTGGGAGTCATCCTTGTGGATAGAAGTTTGATGGATACTGTATGTAGGTTGCACTGAGCTTGTGAGTTCAGTTGACTGCGATCCATCGATGCGTCGATCTGCGCAATTCCAGCAAAAGTCCTTTAACGAGTCAAGCGTCATATGTGTCTTCCAGAGTTTCGAGCCATGAAATTGCACATGCAGGCAGATTTGGAACGTGTTGGGGTCTCCGCTATTCTTTTGACACCCCTACTCGCAGGAAGAGGACCGGCTGAGCCTAGTGATGGAGTGCATGGAAGGTGGTGAGCTCTTTGACCGGGTGCGCGAAAAGAAAGTCTACTCGGAGAAGGACGTGAAATGGCATGTACTTGGATGTCGGTCTTTAATATTCTTTAATATGTTTTAGGGAACAGTTTGACAGGGCACAGTAGAGCACAGTGGCTTCAACAGAGGCTGCAAACTTGGTGGGAGCTTACCATCCCAAAAGTTCCGCATTGAGATGGCCTTTGATGTTTCTTCAAAGCCGTCGTGATGGCAACCCGACATATGGAACAGTTTCTCACATGACAAGACCTGGCCCAAAAAAACATGTCCTTGACACAGTGGCGTCATCAGGATGCTTGCAAGACCACCAGAATGATGCTGCTCGCTGTCAACTATTTGCACAGCTGCGGAGTCGTTCACCGTGACTTGAAGCTTGGACAGCTTCCCTTAGTGGCAATAATTTCATTTGTTATTTCTGCAGGATGCAAAAGGACACCCAGTGGTTTTGGATGATTATGTGTTCGCCTTCTTTGTGCTACCCTCATGTTGCATGAGGGCATTCACTGTGGACATCAGATATTTGCTCACAAACTCTCACAACCTCAATGAAAATCATTGAACATCCATTTGTTGATATTGTTTGCCACTGCTATGGCCACTTTCACGAAATGGAGCCATGATGTCACTGACATCGGACCTTGATCTTTGCGTCGAATAGTTCAGACTATATGTGTTACAGTATCCTTCTTGCCTCTTTCACCAAGGAAGCTAGAAAACTTCCTGTATGAGAACAAAAACTCCGACTTCTTGAAACTCATCGACTTTGGCTTCAGCAAAGTTTGGGCCAAAAACACCAAGATGGAGCTCAGTTGTGGGACTTTATCCTACGCAGCTCCAGAAGTCTTGGCAAAGTCCTATACAAGTCAATGTGATCTATGGAGCCTGGGAGTCATTGTTTTCATCCTTCTTGTTTCTCATCTGAACCATGGACGGTCACTGCCTGACCTTTCGTTCCTACAATATCTTGTTTAACCTGGGAGTTGCAGACTAGCAGACAAGAAGGGAGATTAGGATTCATTTAGCTGGACCATGCAGCCTAGAAATTCTCAACATTGAATTTGGACATTGTTTATTCTCAACAGAAAAACATGACCATTCTCAACATTGCTATTCGCAGTTCTCAATCATTCTATGCCGTCCAGCAATTTGAGCCGTCAGAAACTTGGGGCCAACTGCATGGCATCATGATGGCCAGGTTGGATACATGCCTTTTGCCGGCTCAGACGAGCGAAAGCAGATCCACATGATACGATCAGGAACCTACCTAGTGAAGAAGGAGCGATGGGCGAAAGTGTCACGTGTCTGCAGAAATTCTAGGAGGATGCGCCTGCTGCCCATCATCACCCCCCAAATCTAAAAATTCTCGAAGACTCATACCATCCCACTTGCTTTAGTCACTTTAGTCTTTGTGGAAGCTGATCCCTTTTTCTCCACATGGAACATGACAGATCCACTCCGGTCCAATGGATACAGCAGCAATTTGATGCAATTTGCCAATGATGTTTCTATCCCAACCCATGGCAGTCCAATGTCCCATCCTTAGGTCTTCCTTAGCCTCGGATTTCGTGAAGAAGCTGCTGGTGGTGGATCCTGATGTTCGGATGACGGCACCCCAAGCCTTGGAGCATCCCTGGATCAAAAACCACGAAGACGCCTGCAGCGATTGCATCGATGAAGCCATGGTGCCTCGGATGAAAACCCGTAAGTCACGAAGTTGACGACATTTGACGACTGGAAGGTCTTGGAAGATCTTGGAAGACTTTCAGAAGTCAAGTGGTGGTTGGTGAAATTACTTTGCAAGTTGCAAATATCGTTTGAGAATTTGGAGGTCCCTTAGCCGTCGGTACTGCCTTGCAGAGACAGCATGTCAGTTCTGCGAGAAGTGCTTCAAGTTTCTGCCAAAAGTGTTATTCCATTGAAGGGCTGATTGGTGATGATTCCCTCAACTGTCTTCAAAGCAGTGCGCCTGATCCCTGTGTTCCAGATTTGAGGTGGCTTCTCTTTGTGATTTTGCCAAGAGCCAAAGTTTCCGAAGGTCAGGGTGGGCTGATGAAACTCTGGCCGATGAACGTCGGGCGGAAGGATCCCTGATTTTGCCAGTACAGATCAAAAAAAGGAACCAGTGGGGAGGTTGAAGCTGGTTGAGACATATCAACACAATTCAACACATGTACAGCTGATGAAAAGATCGTGACCGAGGTTTGTTTTACGCCACGCTCCTCAGAGTCTCACTGCCGCAGGTCTTGCATGAAACTGATGGCTTGGTCTCTCACTGCACCTGAGAGGCCCTCAGCCACACTGGGGGAGCCGACATGGGAGGAACGGGAGGAACCTGACCATATCCGAACCTTGGGATTCAGTGGTTCAGTGGGTAGTTGATTCATGTTGATTCAACGCTTAAATTGCCCAGAAAAATGAGAATCGGGTCATCGTTTTGCCAGGGCGCAAGTCCGAGATGCCTTTATGGCATTGGACACAGGCAGCACAGGCACCATCAGAATATCAGATCTCAAGCAGATCTTGGAGGAGTCAAGACCTTGGGAATGGGTCGATGGCTTTGGTTTCACAATACTCCCACTGTGGGATGTGCAGATGATATCAGATTCATAATCAGAGATAATCTAAAAAACTACATCCATTTTTTGGATCCATTGGTACTGAAATGTACTGTACCATTGTTCAAAACATACCCAGATCAGCCAGATCACATCCAGCATGTTCTAGCACTTCTTACTCCAAGTGTTATCTTTTTGTTGTCAAGTGGCCAGATTGAGACATGTTTCGTCCTGCCACTTTGGCTTCAATTGAATTGGATATCAATGGCATTAACAGAACTGCATAAGAACAAGATCGCAAGGTTGCCTTTGTTGTATTCTTTATATTCTTTGCGGAGTTGTTACTTGTACTGTCCTAGTTTCAGTTTTGTGGATCATTGATGGATCCGCCAAAGGAGAACTTCCACCTTCCGGAAGAAGAGCAGCAGCACGTGTTTAATGCCTTCAGCGATTCAGAGGCTCGTATGGAATTCACTCAATCCTCCGATAATTCGACAATGCAATTGTTTTTCCTCGAAACAGTTTCCTGATGCCAGTGCGATTGGCAACCAGAATATCTAAATGGTCCGGTACCAGGGCGAGCAGACACACAGATCACAGAGTCTTGGGCTCCTAAGGATGATGACATCCAATATTCTGAGTTCTTGGCTGCAATGATGGCCTCGCGTATCGCCCTCCATGATGAGCTTTTGAAAGATGCGTTCAGGACCGAGCCGGTTTGTCGGGTTTTGCTTGTTGCTATTTCTTCCTGCCTGCCTGCCTGCCTGCCTGCCTGCCTGCCTGCCTGCCTGCCTGCCTGCCTGCCTGCCTGCCTGCCTCTCTTTCTTTCTTTCGTTCTTTCATGTTCTTTCTATTTTCTAATTATCTATCGTTCTTTCCTTCTTTCTTATTATTTTTCTTTGGCATTTTGATTGGTGCAGATGATGAACTGACAGCATCTGACAGCTACAGTCGTGACAGAAGGTTGTAGACTTGGTGTGAATTGGTTACTTGGTTTTCTTGGCAGTTGCTCTGCTGACTGGTCTTTAGAGTTTGCGTAAAACAAATATATGGCTGGCAGGTGTGACACTGAGAGGTCCAAAGCGTAGATCTTGCGAGTTCCTCTGATTTGTCTTCATGTTGTACACAATTCTGCGCATGTGTTTGATGTGTTTCCGCATTGACAATGGGCAGGCGCTTTGACACCGAGAACAGTGGTTACATCCGAAGGGAAGACCTGTTCAAGGTACTGGAAAGTGAAACCGAAGCGCTACAGGTCATGAAGGAGTTGGATGTGAACCAAGATGGCAAGATCTCTTACGAGGAATTCATAGGTTCCTCAGCCAGCCAATGGTGTCAGCAGATCAGAAAAAACGGGCCTATCACATCCTATCACTGAGGTATGTTAAACCTGCAATAGTCAATATTCAAAGACGGGAACATTTCATTAAAACTATAAAAACACTGTCACATCTTCAGTGGGAATTGTGCCCCACACGTTTGTGAGAAAGCCTTGAGTCCGGGAACAAGGACAGGTATGCAGAGTGAGGTATGATCCACCCCTGCCCGGCCCGCTGTCGAGGTTATTTGAAGAACGGCAGCGCAGCAGATAATGATCTGGAAGCAGCCGAGCGCGCAATCTCTCGGGAGATCATTTGCAGAAACAGGTGGAGCAGGGTGTCGTGGAAACTTTTTCTGCGCATTCACGGATCATGGAACAGATTTCAGTCATCGATCGAGGTTGTCTGAGGTTGTGTGAAATCCATGCGATAAACCGGTAGATACGCTCAGAAGTGAGTAATATACCTGGAGTCTCCACTACCCTTCGTTTTTGGGGTCGTTTGCAAAACACCTCTTTTTTGGGTACGTTTGATACTTTTTGGGGTCGTTTCATGCAAAAAAGGCCTTTTATCTTCCAAGCAGGTGCTGGCTATATACACTAAGCATTACTAAGCTAAATCATGTGAGCGTTTTGTTCTTGTCCTGTGTAATGTTGGATCAGGCACCCTCACACATCATTCAGACCCAGGCGCATAACTAAAACTTCATGGCTGAAAAGCTTTGGATCCACAATTCGTGTCGAAATATAAAACCTTCGCCTGCTTTTGATAATGAGCTGCGGGGGCAAACATTTGCACATTGCGACACTTATGCGAAAATATACACGGGGTTTGAGCACATCCACTCGCCCTGATCTTCTGGTGCCAGCTGCTGAAACAGTTTTGACGGATGGACGGACGGACGTGAAAAAAAAGGTGTGTTTTTTGGAAAAAAATCCTTTTTGTTCGGACGGGTCCAAGCCGGACGGATATTTCCGTACTTTGGACGCATTTTTCCGTACTTTCGGACGCCGTCCGGACGGCCCTCAGCAAAAAAAGCTACGTTTGAAGAAAAAAGGCCTTTGCATGTTTGCGTTGTATGGGCAAATCTTCCAACGACAAGTTGTCACCAAAATTGAGCAATTCACCCGCGTGTCCGCAACTGAGTGTTGAGACCTACCCTCATGCGTGCAATAATGAAAGAGCAAAGTGCGTCCAAAACCCAAAGCAAGCAAGATCGAAACCATGGCATCAAACACGTAAACGAGAACCAATAGTTTGGAAATCTTTGCTCCTGCACCTTCAAGCAGCCAAAACAAAAATGGCACCTGCAACAATGAGTTGCAAGTTGGCAATGTGGCACATTTATTTGATTTCCACAGTTTCAGCTGTACCTCCATGAGTGAACATCACTAACATGCAAAAAACAGTACTTGATTTCAAAAAAAGTACTTTCGGAAAAAAATGCCCTTTTTCTTGAAAGACCCCAAAAATTAAGGGTCGTTGGAGAGTCAAGGTATATAATATATATATATTACACACATGGCGGCATCATTCTTTTTTTTCAAGTAAGATAGGTATATATGATATACATAATATATTACAATATGCGGTAGTCAGTGGATGTCAGTGGTCAGTACTATATGATGTATATACATTGCAGACAATTGTCTCGCATATTGTGTCGCAGCTGAACGGCCAGGGATGGTTCAGAGCCAAGACTTCGAAAGCGCGACAAGCTGAAGGGTATGTTCAACAGAATGTTTTCCAGCTAAAGCCTGCGAAGGATTATTAGAACATCGTTGGTTTTCATCCTACTTGCCTCTCTTCTTCATTCGCCTACAATGTCTTGATTGCTTCGAGTTCAAACAGGATCTGAAAATAGATTGTGCACAATCCAGACAATCCAGATCCAGAAATGCAGGTTATCACCCCTTGCTACAGCATGTTGTTGCTCTAAAAGGATCAATCTCCTGGCACAGAATTAGGCCTTTCTTGAATAGACCAGAGTTGTAACCACTCACACTTGGAATCTTAGAGTTGTTTGTTACGCAGCAGGCTTTTGCCATGATACTGGGTAGGTCTGAACAGCAGAAAGTCGGAGTTGCCAGTGATTTTTTGAAAGCATTGTGTATGCTGACAGTACAGATGTTTTTTTTCCTTCTGATTCCAGTGACACAGATTTTTTGCTTCATGCACTTGTCAGAATCAGACTTTCACCCTAAAACTGCAGTGAAGGGTGGAATACGCACAAGGATGGTGAATTTTGCTAGATGTGTGTTTTTGATTGTTTTTGAATGCATAAATGGCGTAAATAGCACAGGCTTGGCAGACCTTTTCCATCCTTGTGGCAGTGGCCCAGAACATTTTGCATAGCATTTTTGGTACGGCATTTGTGCTTTTGAGCACATGCCTTCTGATTATTGATCCAGGGCGAGCGACGGCCAGATACCAGCTGCTAGCAATCATAATCCACCGACGAAAAAGCAGTGGTGCTCGCCTGGGGTTGACGTTTGTCGATCCCCTACAGAGCCAGCTCAAATTTGGAGCTGCTTTGTGAAGTGGGCCGATTTCAGGCAGCACCAAGGTAAATCATGATAGGAGCCATTCCAAGACAGGTTCCTGGCTCATTGACAGCATTTTGCGAAGTTGTTGTATTTCTTTCCACATGTTTCTACTTGAGCTAATGGAAAGTACCAGCAATTACATTGTCCATCACTGTCCTTAACGGATCTTAAGGGCGGCATGTAGTATAAAGATGTATAAAGCATTCGGCCGGGCATTTGGTGCTGACCTGTGCTTTTGAACGGCGATCGAACGCGCTTTTGATTGGAACTGGGGAGGTTCCAGCTGGGGATCTTACGACTTGGACAAGTCGTCAGCAGCTGGGGCTCTCCGATTTCCGGTCGATCGGACAGTGCCTGGAGCAGTTCGAATCGGAGACGGTGTTTGGGAAAACAGGTGGAAATTTCCGGTGGATCTGCAGTGCAGCTCCGATGGTCTTCCGGGATCGACTTTCTGGAGATTGATGATAGATTCGATAGATGATGATAGTTATGTGAAGTGCTTCTCTCTGTGTTTGTGTGTCAGTATGACCAAAGGAATCTGCTGCACTTGGTTGGATGATGTTGGAATATGTTGGATGTTCGGCGGGGCTGTCAATGGTTTTGTCCATGAAGATTTGCACAACACAAGTGTACATTGATCAGCAATTACACTGAATTATCGGAAACCAACAGTATTATCCTGTATAATTGTCCCATAATTACACTGAATACTGTTGGTTTCCATAATTAACCAACAGTATTATACAGGAATTACACTGATAATCTTGATATTCCTGTATAATTATCCCCATTATACTCGGGATCTGAGATCTCTGTCCTGAACCAAAGTCTGAGTATATACCCCAGACACGTAAACAGGTGAATATACTGTATGTTGATGTTTGAATGTAAATGAGTGATGACACGTTGATTACCAAACATCAGATAGCTAGCTTGCGGGCTGGCACAAGAGATTCGGATAGATTTAGAGGGTTGGCCGCCTGGCCATTTTCAACCCGTCAGGCGATCCTCAGCGCACATCAGTACGATCACCGGGGTTCACGGTGAGCTCCCAAGCGGTGTAGGGAGATTGATCCAAATCACAGCATTTGGATGGCTAAATATGGCTGATGCGAAAGGATTTTCAAAGATGCTGAAAGGGATTTCAGTTTTCATGTGGGCACATGTCTCAAGCCGGTAGGCCAATTGTGGTGTGTCAGCAGGCCTTTGTGTTTGGACGCATGTCCGACATTGTTTGCAAGCTGATTGCATCCTAAGACCCGATGTATTAACTTGAATGACTGTTGTTCCTGTACAGACCGATACAGACTACAGATGAGATCAGATGAGTTTTGTTTCCTGTTGCTTTTCTTGTTGACTCACAAGCTTAACATTGCAGATCCCATCAATATCCACGAAATGGGCAAGCCCAGGGCCCAAGGGGCCTGGCCGCCCAGGCTCTACAAGGATGCCGTGGACACGTTGCAACAGGTCTTAGAAGAAAAACGTGTGGAGCAAATGGCCAGGCACCGCTGATGAAACACCTGGATGGTAGGCTTGGTAGGAGTATTTTGGCAGTTTAAAAATGTTTTGAAGGCCTTTTCATCGGATCATTTGAGTGTCCTATGGCTCAAATTCAAGCCCTAAAATGGAGATTCGGATGATGTAGATCTTGGTTTGCTACGAAGTTAATCGAAGTTACTATAAAACTCACTGTGTTCCTTGGCACCACAATGACATGGGGAAGATCCACTGTGGAGGCAGCTTGCAGACGCCGCCGCACGGGGCGATTTGGAGACGCTCCACGGACTGCTGCAGGCCTGGTGGCTTGACAGGCCATAGCTGCCATAGCTCAGAAATCTGGTTCGCTGAAGTCCATCATTTTCAAACACTAAATTTTGGGGTCATGCCCAATAATAATTAGTGTGATTATTATGATTATTATGATTATTCTGATTGGGGTCATATTATGATCATATTATGACTTGCTTAGTGTGGATTTACCATGCCTAAGCCACAAAAAAAGCCACACTGAGTTGACACAGCAAGATGACCCTGACGAAATGCAGGGCGAACGCAACCATTATAGTGTGACCTTAGTTTGATAAAGTTTGCAAACTTTTATGCGAGTCTGGTCAGTACAAGTTGTTGCATATAGACAGGTCTCTTTCTTTGCCCTGCCCGCTGAGTTTCCAAGCTTCAACATTCGTTAGGAATTGTTGCACCCAAAGTTAGACCACAAGGACAAATTTCCGAGACATGCATGACCTGCCCTTTTGCCCATTAGGTTTTTCCGCTCATTTCATAAACCATTTTCCTCAGCCTGGCGCGCGTTTTATTGGGTTTTGTTTGTTCCAATCCAACGGATCAGCAAGTGCCAGGGCAGCCATTCCTCACAAGCAGGACTGCGCAGTGACTTCAACGTGCAGTCGATTCAAGCTAAAGTACAGGTTAAATGGTTAAATTTGCACGCCTCGACTACACCATTGTATAGTCAAATATGGTCAACTAATGTCAACTATCAATTTGTGTGGCTGCTGGTGCGGGGACACTTGGGCATGCGTCTACCACACATGGATGAGGACTAAAAAGAGCCTTTTAACTTTTCCATGCGGCAGGAGTCTCCTTGGCTTCTCGCCCCGAGTTTTCAGAAGCAGAGGCCAGAGGGCTGCAGGCATTTGCAGACACTTCTTGTATCCCAGACATATGGTGGCAGATGTCATGTGCATTATATAGTGTACCTACCGTAGGTTTGAAGATGCGGGTTGGCTTGATGACCACAAAACACAGGCAATTTCTACGAGACTTTATTTTTACAGATCTGGCTGTGTAACTCGCAAACACGAATAGCAAGGCGCAAAAAGAGCTTTGTTTGGGATTGAGATGCTCAGGATATTTGCCTTCTGTTCTTATCCCAGAGTGAGATATTTTCTGAATAGGTACTTTCGATCTTGGCCAGGCGGCATTGAAGAAAGGTGTGCGTGAAGCTGCCATGTTTGCTGGAAAACCGTTTGCATGAATCAATGACATCAATGTGACATCAATGTCATTTCATGCGGCTGGGAGCTTTAAGACTGAACAGGTTATAGCATGTTATAGCATTATGTTATAGTACTATTACATACATATTAGTACTGTATGGAGTATAGCTATAGTCTTACCGTACTATTAATACCTCTATATACTATAATCTTTGCTGTATATCTTTGCGTCAGGTCAATCCTTGCAACGGGCTGCTGCAAGTTGCAGTCGCCGTCAAGTCCGGCAAGCCTGTGCTGAGGTCAGATCCTGGTGATCATAGGCGTTGTCCTAGTTCCCAATCATGCACAGAAAAAAAACAGTAAGTATTTCCAATGCATTTCCATGTATGTCCATATCAATCTCCATAGATTTCAATATACCTTAGATATCCTCAGATATCCTTAGCAAAATGACTGACCCCCTTCGCTGCACTGCTCCACTGCCTGTCGCAGGCGCTTCGGTACGGCTTCTCGGAGCTGGCGGAATATCAGCGACTGGTTGACCTGCAGAGGAACCTTGGCCTTGTCCAATAATGGATGTATAACATGGACTAACCATAGCCATCCATAACCCAAACCCGCCAGTTTACGTGGAAAAGATGGGAAAATAATACTAGACTGGCTTTGGTGGTAATTATACATCTTATCAGTACTGTCTTTTTTCGACAGAGCCACCTGAGAATGTTGACACATGGAAGGGTGTCCGAAGCTGGTGCAACTGGTGCGTTGTTCACAGGGACCAGGATTCTTTTTGCATCGGTCGCGGCATACTGTATAAAGCCTGCGTGATGTATTTCCGATCTTCCGATGTTGAAGGAAGCTTTGCCTGCAAAACCTGCACGATGTTGGGACCTTATCCATGCTGTTTGCGCAATTTGGCATCTGATTTGCAGTAGAGTTTGCAAACTCGAGGCGGCTCAGCAAAGACATGAGGAGACAGCCCGGGTAGTGGGGGTGAAGCACTGCAGGCAAGGCCTTCCCGCGTTGACCCGGCCCCAAAGTACATAGAAGTGCAACCCTTTTCCGACTTTAAGAACAGGGAAGGAAAGTTGAGAGACTGCTTGCATGTAATCTTCACACACATGCTCCATCAAGTTCATCAAAAGCTCCAATGATAAATTGATAAAGCCAGAGTGACCAGTCTTTTGGCGAAGCCACCACTCAGAGCCTGAGAAATCGTTGATTTCATCCTGTCCATGCCACTTTCCTAGGAGCAAATTCGAGAGAAACTCCAGGAATTCATTGAGGCCGGGGTCGCAGTGTTTGTTGTGCACCGTAGAGCTGAGAAGAAGAACGAGAAATGGTCCAATGGCAGATTTGCTGGTGTTTCTACTGGAGGGGTATCTTTTTGTTGTGTTGGTGGTTTTTTGTGTTTTCTAGTCTGGCTTCTTGGCTCGTGTGAATTTTGTGTATAATATAGAGTTTTTGTATGTTTTTGTGACTCTTGTTTTCTCGGCTTCTTAGCTTCCTGTTTTTCTTGGCTCTCTTGTCGTTTCTTCGATTTTGGATGTTTTGGCTTCTTTTTGTTTCGGCTTTTGTGGTTTCTTCGCAGTATGCTGCAACAATTGTGCAGACATCGAAAAAGACATCTATTAGAACAATTAAAAGGACAATGATAGTGTTTTAAAAGAACGGCACAATCCAACAATAGAACTTTATAGAAGCACAGCACTTCGACAACATCCAACGAACCTATTTTTACACAACGCGGCTGTGCCTCAACCTACATTCTATAATTAATATATTTCCAAGGTGCAAAGGTGCATGTTGTGCATCATATACACCCTAAGTACTGTACCATATGTTAACCTCATGTGAGAATAGGTATATATTGTCATTCTGCTTTTGGGGGAGGTGCTGCGCCCTCCCCGCACCCCCCGTTTTTTTTTACTGTGCATCCGAGCTTGCACAGTTGTAAATGCACTATTTAAAGCAATATAAAACATATAATCATACACATGCATGTTTTAAAGTTGTTTATATATATATATACACCAAAATGTATCATATTGTATCCCTAGACACACCCTCATCCAACCCTACATCAACCCTAAACAAGTTTTAAACAGACCCTAACCTAAAAAAACCTCAAACCACCCCCCAAATAGACACCAAACTAACCCTAAATGAACCCCAAACCAACCCTAAATAAACCTTAAACTCCCAAACCAACCCTTTATAAAACCGAAACAAACCTAAAGTCAAAACCAAACTACAATAAACCTTAAACCAATCCCAAATAATTTCCAAACCAACCTTTAATAAACCTTAAACCAATCCCAAACAAGCATTAGACCAACCCTAAAAACATACTTGGAAAATCACACTATGCCGCTGTGATGGTGCTATCAACAAGGTAGAACACAACTGAATAACAATGAGGGGATTCATTTTTAAGCATGCTGCAAAATCCATGCAAGTTGCAGATTTTTGCGCCAAAATGCCGCACAGATGCCACAAATACCACGCAAATAAGAGATTCCAGTTTACCGTAAAGATGATGCAAATAACGTTGTGCAAATGCTGGCTCTAAGATGCTGCGAACTTTTGCCAACAAGAAATCCAAGGTCCAAAATGCTGCAAATAGACGCAAATAGCAAGAAAAAATGCCCCAGACTGAGCAAACAAAAATACAAAGTGCCACTGTGAGGGTATAGTAAAGATGTGAGTCAAGAGAGCTCCACCCTGAGTGAGTCAAAAACTCAAGCCACTCAGCAATTGAGGACTCCATTGTGTTTTGACAGACAACTTCGATTTTTCAGCATTGGCCCTTCGTTTGACTCAGTGGAATCGGACTGGAAAACACCCTAAAAACTTGATAAAGCTTGTAGATGAGAGTTCCTTTCTTCCAGGAGCCAGAGCTACTTGACTGGGGACGCAAGGACCCGGCTGAAATTTCTAAGGGTCCAGCCGGGTACAGCTCTGTTTGTCATGTGCTATGTTGTTGGAAAAATGTTAGTCCAAGTTGACGATCTGATCCACTTGAACTTCGAATAACGTGGACACGTGGATGATGGCCATACCTCTGCGTGAGTTGTTGCAACATGTTGCAACAGCTTTCAGTGTTTGGCCCGTTTGGCTCATGGCCGGGTTGGATCTGAGGTGCAAACACCTAACAAACATTGATGTGTTGGTAGATCAATTCAGGTATTGCGGCCCCAAGCGGACCGTTGCATACAGACCAAATTGCAAAGAATAAGAATTGGGGGGATGACAGTTCCGTCTTGTGATGGCACAGATTTCTTCATAGTGTGAAGCTTCCAATGATGATTGCAAGATGGATTGACTTGGAGGATGATATCATGCAACTATTGTACTGAAAAACTTCAGTAAATTCGCAATGGATGGCCGATCCGACGGAAAGCAGCTGGGAAACTGCAACTTGGCATGATTCTGATACAAAATTGTTGTATATTGCTGTGCATCTTGATATTGCAGTTCTTGTTTGACTATTACACATAAAAACAATTCTATATATTACATATACTATGGTTTGAATTGTTTCAATGTCTACAAATGATGCAAGATTCTACACACTGTGCACGGCAAAAGTGGCTGAACACTCTCCGACACTTTGCCCGAGGACTATGAAAGCTACATTCATCATTCGTGCCCGGATTCAGAGATTCGGGTGCCCAGAATCGAGCAGATCCCAATAGACTTTGACGATTGTTTCTGCGTGGACTTTTCGGAAGCCTACGGGAGACCCTTCTTCCGCACCTTTTGTGCAGGCGTGACACCATGGTGCGGCTGTGCGTGTGGGTGTGATGGGTTCCAGTGATTGTACAAATTGCACATCATTTTAAAGGCAACTGCAGCAACTCTGGCAATGAATGGCTTTCTCTTTACGCCTGGTGCAGGTTTGCCACGTGGCCGGCCAACTGCAGTTCAACCGGCCTGTGCAGCGAGATATGGCGCTGGGAAAGATGACAAAGGTCGGTTGTACTACAAAGACCTTGCGACTGGAAGCACCAGTAGGGACCTCCCAGGATACTTGGATTGCAGAAGTTATTGGGAGAGGTTTGGAGATCTGCAGGAAATTCAGAATAGCTATGTCATGCTATGACATTATCAGCATATAAATATTCATACATATTCTATACATATATACATAAACATATTTATTTATACGCAGATTAGATACAAGTTGATTCGCAGAGTTCCTCCGTTGCTTGGACTTCTTGCCGCCGTAGGCCATGGTGTGCTGTTTTCATGCCGTTTCGTGCTCATGCCAACGAAGCCAATACCGCCACCGAGGTGCCAAAAATCAAAAGAAAGACTTCAAGGTCGTCCGGGTCGTTGGCCTCGGGATGGCCTCGGGGTGGCCTCGGGATCCAGGTGGAAATCACTAAAATTTGAGAAGTGAGCGTTTTCAAAGCAACGATCGACTTTGTGACATCTTGAAATGCCCTGGCGATTTACTGTCATGGCTCTGTCAGTGCCTCTGAGTGCCGAAAATGTTTGCTGGCTTGAATTGAACTACAGCAAGCAGCTTCCAGGAAAAGAACATCTTTATTTTCCCAGTGATCTTCTTTATTTGTTGCTTGTTCTTTGGAAGAGAGGATACAATGCTGTCAAGTTTGAATCGAAGCGTACATTGATTCATGTGTTTTTCTTGTCGTGATTTTCTCTGAGTTTGCAGGTGGGAATGTGCATTGAATTGCGTGCCGAAAATGAATGGTATCACTTATGCGCAGGAGCAGATGGCGCGATGTGGTCAGTGATGACCTGTGAAACTTCCATTGCCCCGCATGCTGTACCGTCAACACATTCCAGTTCACGGATGTTCATTGATGATCATTGATGAATGATGAACAGACACCTCACAGCTCAGACGAACAGGAGAGATTGTTCTCTTTTGCGGCCAAAAAATCTTGGTGTCCATTCCAGATTTTTCAAGAGAAGTTGTGTCTTGGTATTGATGAGGTGTTGGGTAAGGTGTGGTATGTGTATGTGTCCAGCCTAGCCGCTGTTTCTTTTTTGTACAGACATCTTGGGGCGGACAGGGTGAACGCCTGCTGAAAATCCGTGTGATGTGGCGCCAGCACTTCATCACTTCAGGTTGTCGGCGCTGAAGAGATTGTACCTGTTTCCAAGGGGAAGCTAGTGAAATTGATACCCAGTAGGGTTGGTGACTTTGGGAGTTTGAAGCACGGAAGCTCGGTGGTATGATGGTTTCATGGGGATGGGGCGTCTTGTTGATTGTGTTCTCTGTTCTTCTGCGAGGATGTATCTAGCTAGCAGATCCAAGATGCTTTTGATATCTCTTTATGAATCCGGTTATTTTCGGTGCTTCATTCCTCAGACATGTCAAGAGTTTGCAGAAATCGGATTTGGTTTGCCTATCGGATATCGGATAGCTGCATCATTCATGACCCAGTATAGTGCCTAAGGAATCATGGTGAGGGCGCTGAGAGACGAGAAGGCAAACGAGATTGTTTACGAAGAGTCTTGCCTCAACGGATAGCACATTCTGTGGAATGATGTGTTTTGCTGGAAAACAACATTGACTTTACATGAATAATACCAGATATGGTTGGTCGAGATTGCAATGTTGAACATGCGTCTAAATGATTGTAAATGTATCTACCGTGCCATGTTTCGTTGACTTCTACACTGAGATTAGTATGTTCTATCCGATCTATCCTATAAAGATCTTGATGTGCTACATCAACCTAACCATACCTAACCTACACACCTACGGAAGTAGGGAAGCACCCGTGTGGCCCAGGTAGATGACTCCTTGTTCACGGGAGCTTATATTGTGCCACCCATCTACCTGAAATCTCCACGCTTCGATGGTCTGGATGCTGCCATGGCAGCCAAGTGTAGTTGGCCAGAGACTGCAGAGCACCTGGTGATTCTTGTGACTGAGATGAACCATCCAGCGGCGAATTGTCGTGGCATATCGTGCATATCTGCGACGTTGCTTCCATGTGTCCCAATGTGTCCCACACTTGGAAGCCATTGGGCGCGAAGCTGTTGGACAGCTATCCCAGCTGTCGTACCAGTCGTACTTGATGAAGTACTCTTTAAAAATACTAACTGTAGAATCTGTAGAATGCCGAAGTGGATTTGGGAAATCTTCATGTTCGTTCGGCGAGAAATGGGATGATCATCCCAGCAACCAGCACAAAGTCGCCGAGGCGATGCCCGATTTGTCCAAGGAGCACTGGTCGCTGTAGAAATGTGATATTTAGATGTACTGATTTAATAAGTTAGAAATGTTTAGGATGTACAGTATATATGTTTAGTTTAGCATACAAAAAAATATATTGTGATGTAGCGCTATACATGTACTTTATTGATGTGGCCTGTTTGTGTATAATATAGTATCTACGAGACTTGCATCTACAATTTTCACGCATTTCTCAAGGACTCTCAAGGCATTTACTGTATCCTGAAGGATTGAACGGGACCTCCCCATTTAGTTGGTGCTGCTAGTGATATTTTCAACTGTTCGGTTCGATGTCTCTGGGCTCAACATGGCTCAACCGTTTGGTGTTTGAGGGGTCGGAAGTTGCAGAATCCTAGCAGCCCTAGCTATAGTGGCCTGGCGATGCATCTTTTGACAAAATACCGAAGCATGTGGATTGTGCAGATTGCATTCTGTATAGCACATCATTTGGTTCTTGTTTGCTAGTTTTGAAAATTTTGCAGCGAGAAAGAGGTGTGTTCTCAGGGCTCCTTTTGTGAGCACCTTGACAGGAGGAGTTCTACGTGCATTTTCCATTCAAATTCCAAATGGCCGAGTCGAAATTGCAGGTGAACCAGGCACCCTGCGATAATGAATTCAGGTGACTGAGGATAGGGATTGCAACACGGATCAACGATCAAACTAGAATGTTTTGGTATCGGTCACATGTACTTGATACATGTTGAATCATGTTGATTATTTTGGTAAAGTCCAATTCAAGTCCATCAAATTTCGACAGGACTGCTACCTTTTTGCACCTTTTGGTCAGCCTTTTGGTACACATATGGCGCCACGTGGCCACGGCGCAGGTTGCAAAGTGGCCGCTGATGATTTATCTCCATGGCTCTGGTGGGGGCACTTTTATGTCCTTCGCAAAGCGGAACGAGCACCGGAACGAAGGCGCGCAACCAACGGTTGTTCGACGTCCGTTCCAAAGGGAGATCCCAAGAGTCTGCCAAGGTCGCGGAGAGACTGGAAATTCATTGATTGTAGATGTTAGGTGATGTTAGTAGTGTTGTGTATATATGTATTTGTATGTATTTGTATGTATTTGTATATATTTGTATGCATGTCGACGCAGTGAGAACCTGAACAGAAAACCTTTTGACAAATCAAACAGTTGCAGGGAAGCATTGCACACCATAGATAAATCACGGCAACATTTGTCCTTTGACATGCATGCAAAGGTTGACAGCCGCAGTACCCAACTTGCAAGCATCCTACATCTCAGTTTTAGAAATCTGTTTTGTCGAGGATGCCGCTATGCTGCTGAACACTTTATAATTGTGTCACCGAGTTGTCTCATGGCCGCATTGGTGGCCTGTTGGAGTTTGCAGCCATTTAACACCAGGCTGTGACATGATGGCAGAAGCGTTTTTTTTCCCACGCTCCAAAGTATCTCCGATTGCAGGCACAAAAGTATGACTCGAGTTCTGTCCATTTTCGGAGTCAGACCCAGCATTTGTGGATATAAGCCAGCAAATACATGCGATATCATGCGATGATATCGTGCTATCCTTTTCTTTGTTCCAGTTGAGTTTGGTTCATATCTCCAAAGCCAAATGGGGATGGACGTAAGGCAAATGGGGATGGAAGAATCCACCTCTGCCATGGGTGTTGACGTTGGTTCGGGACAGCATGGGACAGCTCGGAGGGGTCTTGGCCATGGGATCTGTCAAACCGGGGGTGCAGTGTGATGGTGTGAAGTAGATTAGATATATTAGATGGAACAGCTATAATGAATGATTGATTTTTTGCTTTCATGGGCTGCTTTGGATCATGATACTGACAGGTATTGTTGCCAGCTTTTGAGCTGTTTGAGTTTACGGACGATTCCAATTGCATCGGATCATCGCAGGAGTTGTGCAAGCTTCCCTACGTCGATTCCAGCAGAGTTTATTTGACTGGCGTTTCGATGGGAGGCTGGAGAGACTGGAGAGACTGGACATCCCCCAAGTTCCGTTTGGGATACACCCGTGACGACTCCAAATGGAGCCCAGAAAATTGATTGTAACAGACTTATTTAAAGGGAATTTCTCAGTGGAATGAACCATGATTGGCTTCATATGGCTTTATTGTGAAGCATATCAATTGTAGCAGTTCACAACTCCTTCCTCTTGCAAGTTCACTGCCTCAGGAAAGGGGCACAAAGAAGAATATCGGACCCAAAGAAGAGTATATTAATATAATATTAATAGAGTTTCTCCTGTCTCAAATGAGAGAACAAAGTTACAACATGTTACAACATGTTACAACATGTTACAACATGTTGTACATTGCAATGTGGATGACTGATGATGACTGATGACTGACTTGCAAAGATTGCCAGAAATTCTCAGGCATGGGTTGTTGGGAGCTTGGCATGCAAGATCCTGGCCTTTTTGCTGCAGTTGCACCGATAGCTGCCTACCACAAGAGCCATTTGCGCTCCGAGATTGCAGAGGCCAGATTTTGGCTCCCAGGATTCGAGCCTTGTGTTTAGCCACACTGAGTCCTACGATTCTACAATCATTTTAATCATTTTAATCATTTCAATCGGCTTCAATCGGCTTCAATCGGCTTCAATCGGCTTCAATCGGCTTCAATCGACGTCAATGGTTTCATACTGTTGCAACCCTTGCGTTGCTCCGCGCCTGAATCGTGGAAGAGTTGCATTTTTTTGTAGTTCGCCAAAAGTGGAATGTCGACATGCACATCATTCATCATCATCATCATCATCAACATCATCATCATCATCATGAAAATAAACTTGATGCTATCATGCCATTCAACATATTTTTCAGAGGAGGTGGCAAATTTTGATCCCGCATGAAGATAAAGTTGATGCTATTACCCCAGCCAACATATTGTTCAGAGGGGGTGGAGGATTTTGATCCCTCATGAAGATATAGTTTATGTTTTTACCCCAACCAACATATTGTTCAGAGGGGGGGTGCGATTTTTGATCCCTCATGAAGATAAAGTTGATGTTTCTACCCCAATCAGGATATTGCTCAGAGGGTGTGGCGGGTTTTGACCCCTCATGGAGATATAGTTGATGTTTTTACCCCAGCCAACATATTGTTCAGAGAGGGTGGCAAATGTGATCCCTCATGAAGATAAAGTTGATGTTATTACCCCAATCAACATATTGTTCAGAGGGGGGTGCGATTTTTGATCCCTCATGAAGATAAAGTTGTTGTTTTTTTTACCCCAATCAACATATTGTTCAGAGAGGGTGGCAAATGTGATCCCTCATGAAGATAAAGTTGATGTTATTACCCCAATCAACATATTGTTCAGAGGGGGGTGCGATTTTTGATCCCTCATAAAGATAAAGTTGATGCTATTGCCCCAATCAACATATTGTTCAGGGGGGGTGCGATTTTTGATCCCTCATGAAGATAAAGTTGATGCTATTGCCCCAATCAACATATTGTTCAGGGGGGGGGTGCGATTTTTGATCCCTCATGAAGATAAAGTTGATGTTTCTACCCCAATCAGGATATTGCTCAGAGGGTGTGGCGGGTTTTGACCCCTCATGGAGATATAGTTGATGTTCTTACCCCAGCCAACATATTGTTCACAGAGGGTGGTGAATTTTGTTCCCTCATGAAGATAAAGTTGATGTTGTTACAGGATGGGGCCCGATAGTTAGCTAAGTTCGTTTTGAACTGTAAAGTATGATCCTTTTAGATATAGAGGCCCCATCCTGTACCCCAACCAACATATTGTTCAGAGGGGTGGCGAGTTTTGATCCCTCATGAGAATGAAGTTGCTGTTATTACCCCAATCGACATATTGTTCATAGGGCGTGGCGAATTTTGATCCCTCATGGATATAGTTCATGTTTTTACCCCAATCAACATATTGTTCGGAGAGGGTGGCGAATTGGGATCCCTCAATGAAGATAAAGTTGATGTTTTTACCCCAGTCAACATATTTTTCAGAGAGGGTGGCAAATTTTCATGTGATGATGATCATGATGTGTTTAATGATGATGATGATGACGACGACGACGACGACGATGTGGAGCAACGTCCGGGTTGGGCGGAACTTGTTTTATCAGTTATGTTTTTCCCCGTTAAAAAAACAAAAACGTCACCATGTGGGCTTAGATTCGATGCATGAGACCGCCGCTGCACATTCCCTGTTCAGGCTTTGAAATCCACGCCCATTTTCGCGGTTCACTCTCACAAGGACTGCTCAAGCTGATGTTGGTGCGTTTGCAAAAACAGAGTCCCAACAACCAGGCCATCCAAAAAAAAATTGACCACTATTACTTACGGCACTCGAATTCCGACTTCATTCTTGCGTCGTTCTGTGCATCAATTTGTCAACCTTTTTCGAAGCTGAGAGGACGCAACCTGTCCACTTTCCAAAGAAAAAAAATTGTATGAAGAACTGCAGCGTGTTCGAGCTCTCTTGAGGGTTGATCTTTGCAACCATTCACATACCGACATGCACAAACCGCACATGGAAGATCCGACCATCTTTGAAACTCGGCAGAAGTTGGGTCACGCTTGCGAAGCCACCACGGAGTTATCTCAATGTTCATAGGTTAACTTTTTTTGTGGGGGAGGGTTCTTTGAGTTTGCCTCAATGCTAACAGTTTTCGTTCCACGTTCAACATCACTCTACTCGCATCCTGAGGAATGGATGCTGAGCCATCCTTACACTCCCAAAGTCCCAGTTGCGACTCCAATTCGACGATGGGGGTCAAAAAGCGCTTTATGGGCAATGGGCAGGTTTGGATAGGATTTATTGGGGATTTGTTTGACATTTGAGACAGTACCGGCTGATTCTCGATGATTCTCGTGCTGCTATGATTTGACATGTTTTGACTATTTCTCCCTTTTTGGAAAAAAGGCACATCCACGCGTTGATAAAACTCTGCCGACCTACACGATCACTAGACCAAGCGTAAGAGCTGGTGCCTTTAGAATGCTCTTGACAAATTGCCATTGCAGGAACCAGCCTTTCAATCTGCCATTCAGGCGGGTTGGGCAGGTTCCCGACTTTGCCCAGAAGTCCACACTTCTTAACATGTGCATCTATACAAAACACAGCTGCTTGTTGCTTAGTGTTGGCCAAATATATTGATCATGTCACCAGAAAAAAACTAATTTGATATTGTTTTTGGGCCAAGAGCCTCTTCAGCTCAGTTGTAGAATCTCTGATTTATGTTCAGAGATTGAACAAGTAGGCTGTGGACTTGAATTAATGTATATGTATTCCATCTATTCCAATGTCTTTTGGATTTGAATCTCAGTGGAGTCGACCTGGTGGAGAGCTACAGTTGCACATACCGTCCCTTTCAGTCACCTTTAGTTACCATCCAAGTTTGATCAGAGCAAATTCCAAACCTCAGGGCGGAAAAAAGTGAATGACTGTGCTGCGTGTCTAATCCAGGTGTACAAGGAGTTGCTGTCACTTCCACCGCATCTTGGTCGCATCAAATAGCTTCACGGAAACCAAACGAAACAGAAGTTTGTCAGATGAACATGAGGTGCATTGAGGTGCGATGGTCAGCCCGATATTGCTTTAAGTTGCACAACACGGAGGTTTAACCCTTGGCCAAGTCAAGGGTTGATTCTTTTTCTTTACGGCAACTGTCAGAAATCTTGAACTCCACATGCCAAAGCTGGAGGGGGATTATAGGGGGATATTTCTTCAACAAAGGCTCCATGATTCTCCGGAGCAATCGCACATTGCAGGAGCTTGTTGCAGTTTCTTGACATGTCTCGACCCATTTATATTCCCTGTTGGCTCATTCAAGTTTTGAATTGATACACAGGCTTTCAAACTGAGCAACAAGATACTGCCAGAATAAGAAAATGGCATTTGCGACAGCTTCAACCAGGATGAAGCTATAAATTCACGGTTTGTCACAGCTGCACACATCTCATCCTTGCTCCCCAATGAGTGCACGAACTATGGTGGCTTGCAGAACAACATGGCGATGTGAAAAAACTGCTGATGTGACGTGGGCAGGAGCGCATGGGGCGCTGATGGGAGGATTTGATGGATATGGCCAAGCAGCCCCAGTCCCAGTCGCGTTGGCGACTGGCCTTGGCAGAGAACACTTCGAACTTGGTGGCATACAATTCTATCATCAGCCATTTTGGAAAATCCACAGCATGGTGGAAAGCTGTGGCCATGTTTGGAGAGCTAGACAAGAGTGGAGTGAGTGGAGATGCCTATTCGTGTAATTCGGTCATCAACGCGTTTGAGAGAGGTGGAGAGTGGAAAAGTGCATGCGACCTTTGGATTCAGATGATTTGTAGCAGCTTGCAACCAGATGTCATCACATACAACACCATGATCTCAGCCTGTGGTAAGACCGCGGCGTGGTCCAGTGCGATTTGTTTGTTGCGCGCTTGTTTGCCCATTCAGTGGGATGTGATCACCTTGAATTCTGCGATGAGTAGCTATGAAAAGGTTGCCCGATGGTCACATGCCCTCGCCTTGTTAGCCTTCCTATCAGCAACTCGCGGTGATTTGAGGGCTGATGCAATCTCGTACAATGCTGTGATTACCGCATGTGCCAGAGCAGGGCGATGGCAGATAGCGCAAGAAGCATTTGCTCAACTTGGCTGCGAGCATGAGAATGGATTTCAGCCAAGTGTGGTCACCTACAATGCTATGGTGGCAGCTTGTGATTGGAGTGGGCGTTGGAAACAAGCGCTGGATGTCTTTGGCATGGCTCGCTTTTCGGAATGCAAAGACCTGATTACCTATAATTCGGCCATCAGTGCGTGTGATGCCGCAGGGGCAGCAGGATATTTGCACCACGCATTGACCTTGTTGTCGGACTTGAAGCAAGACTCCTTGCAAGGCAATGTGGTGACCTACACAGCAGTCATTAGTGCCTGCGAGAGCGGCGGGCAGTGGCAACAGGCCTTGGTGTTGCTCTTTGAAATGGAAGATGTCAAAGTGCTGCCCAACATTGTCAGCTATAGTGCAACAATCAGTTCTTGTGAGAAAGCACTCAGGTGGCAGCTGGTACTTTTTTTGTTGGCACGTTTACAATCCAAGGATCTTCAGCCCAATTTAATTACGTACAACGCCGTCATCAGTGCATGCGAGAAGGTTGGTCGATGGCGTGAAGCATTACTGGTTTTGGCCACATCTGCTGAGCTTTATGGATTGGATGTGGTGTCCTGCGGTGCTGCCATGAGTGCATTCGAGAAGGGGCGGCAATGGCAACAAGCAGCTGAACTCTTCTGTTGCATGCAGCGTGAAGCAATTGAAATCAATCTGATCATTTCCTGCGCTGTACTCAGTGCAGCAGTTTTCTCAGGCCAGTGGAAGTGGACACTGCAGTTGTTTGAGATTGTGGATGGAGCCATAGAGATTGATGTCATCACCATGGATGTGGTACTCACGGCTTGTCACATGGGTGGCCAAGCTCTGAAAAGCCTCACCTTGTTGCAGCAGGCGGAGAGTAGTGGACTTGCCGGTCTCAGAGAACTTTCAAGAGCAAGGGTAAAAGAATTAGCGTGTGGCCTGTCGAAGCAAGACTCACAAACCCATCATCACACTACTTGGAAACGCGTCATTGTTAGTTTTTGGATGTTTTTGGCAATATTACATGTTGCTTCTTTTTCTTGTGTTCAACGATCTTTGTCGGCACTGCGGAACTACTACCTTTGTTCGCTGAAGGGCTGGCCTTCTCAGTTGAAGCCCAAGGTATTTTGAAGATGAGCAAGTGCTGAGCAAGATCTCACAGAGCTCGGTCCTCATGGTCCTCATGTTTCCCTTGGTGTTTCAACATGTCTCAACAACTTTCAGAGTCCAGGGTCAATCTTTGATAACTTTGACGATTGGGTGTGTCAGCATAGCTTGCAGCACAGGAATATGTGTTCAAATACGTTCAATTGTATCACCAGAAATTCTTCGGTGCTAGTGTATGTTGGCTTGTATTTTGTGTATCCGGGCTTACACTTGACTTAGAGCAAAGGAAGACACGATCCACGAGTCATGCATCAAAGTTGGTCAAACGACCTACTTCAGTTTCAGATAGTTTCAGTACGATGCTATCTTACAGTGTCCAACAACGTGGATTCCAGAGAGGAAGAGATCTCCAGGACTCACCAGCAGAAGTTTTGTCACGCGACCCGTGTCATGTCTTGATAGCCTATGTAGGCCTAAGATGGCCTAAGTACAATGCCTCAGGAGGATCATCCCATGATTCAACCGGTACCCTTGGGGCGTGACCCTTCCGGTGGCCGCCAAAGGCTACGCTGTAAAGCGTGAGGAGCTGAAGGACCAGAAGTTGAAAGAGGCCGGCAACATGGACGTTCCTGACGCACATTTTCTGAGAACTTGTTGGCACTGGTGACTCTCTCAAGTTCGGAGATTATTGTCTTCAGTGTTGGCTTATACAGCCAACATATGAGACAATTTCCAACAGTGAACATAAAGAAACATAAAGAAACCAAGGATTGGGGCACCCAAACATGACCATTGACTGGAAGGTCATCCATGGTGCCCTCCATGGATGAATATATGTTGAGATGATCATGGATATGTTGATATAGGGTCGTCACTATACCTTATTATTAAATATGATTAATGGATATCTATGTTTGATACTGTGGATGGAAGACATCCTGCACCACTAAAAGGATGGTTGAAACATGTTGAAACCCGTCCAAAATATTCCAAAATCATCAACATACACATCCATAAAATTCCATAAACATGGATAAACCATGATAACCACCACATCCCAGTGATGATTTTGGGAAACCCTTTCCATATCTCCATCCCACATCCAGGCCTTCCAAGAGCTCATGGACTTGACCTATTGCCGCGTCGGTTCCTCAGAATCGGGAACCGATCGAAAAGGCAGTCAGAAAATCGCTGGGAAAACCATGGGAAATAAAGGGACAACTATGATCAACTATGCAGAAAACTCGTTGATCTGCTTTGAAAATACATGATATTAATATATATATATATTAATATATTAATGATATGATGTGTGATATGCTACAATATCGTATGATAGGTTTAGATGGTCAAATTATCTCTGAAACCAAATCACCGGTGATTTGTCGGCACAAACTGTGAGTACCAAGATATGTTGCTGTTGTTTGGGAACAACTGCGGTTGTAAAATCTCTCATTTTACCCAAGCGACTGACTCCTTTTCTTCGCAAGTAGTAGAGCACAGTATCGATAGTATAGCATAGTGGAGCTATTCAAGGTACCGAATACCTCACCATCTTTAAAAGCAAAAAAGAATCGATGTCCTTTGTGTTGCCTGGCGAGAATTCGATGGAGCAAGTGTCATCCTGTGAACACGCATTCTTCTACTATAGTATTTGTTCTTCCTGATTGCCAGCTCAAGCGCTATATAAGAAAGCACAGTTTGAAACGCAGTGAGCGAGCCATTTCTGGACACAACTTGAACAGGGTCCCTATCAGTGGATCCCTGTGGATCCATGAGTTTCCCTTAAGATCCTAAGGTGAGGACCAAAGATCGACGGGGAGATGTACCGCTTGGGACTTAAGACCAGCAATGGCGACAATGGTGGGATATGTTGGGATATAACCCCATATAACGGGATATTATATAATATATATATATGTGGTCACCCCCCCCACCAGGGCCTACCAGCTTTTAGCGTGATTTACACACTACCACACAAGCATGGTAACTCTTGTTTTCTTGCAGTTCCTCAATTGCCACCCAGTTACAGTACTCAACATCCTAAGACTCCAAGGTTGCCTTTCCCGTCAAAGTAAAGTAGCCTTTGTAGATGGATTAGTATGAATTAATAAGGGTTATGTTGTTTAAAAAATGGTTCACTTTTTCATAGGGATGTAGTACTGCAACACAATCACATGGAAACACTAGAATACTGTCTTCCCAGACTTCAAAACAATATATTTCTCGTTGTACATGAATTTTGCCACACAAAAGAAATGATCAATATTCTGCCTGGGAACTACATGACTTGAACTTCTCCACTGCAGTCTTGCATTGTCCGTCGAAGCATTCTACTGGATTCATTTTGCTTTGCAAGGTGTGTTTTCTTGTTGGGTTTGGCTACATTTTGAAACCTATCTCGACCATTGTCATGAAGAAATCCATTTTGCACATGACAGTTTTTTCTCTGGATCAGGTTTCCTCTTTGTGAACATCACATCACAATATGACCAAATAGCCCTGCTAAATTTCCAAAGGATACACGAAGAAAACTCATAAATTCTCAAAAATCTGGTGGTTGCCTTTGAGCTAGCAGAGCACAGTTTTTTTCAGGAAGAAATCTCCTTGTGAAGGTTGGAGACCTTTTTTCTGAAAAAAATAGTCCTCTACAATCCGTATTGTGTTTTAAGTGCGGCATTCCTGTTTTCTTTCTGTATCATGGTAACATTCCCTCCAACAGATGTTGTTTTCTTCAAAGATTGAATACTTAACCTAAAGCTGCAATCTTGTTAAACAACAGAAACACTATTGTTTCAGAATATGCAGTGTATCCTTTAAAGATGTGATACCCCTCTCAAAGAAGCTCAACTGTCCTTTATGTTCGAAGGTATATTTGGACAGGAACACCATTTGTTTGAACGAAAGGTTTCACTCATCAAAAGGAAAATTGAATCAGTTGTCCTTTTGTTTGAAAATCATGCAGTTTCTCTGAACATATGTAGCACTGCTTTCAATCACACCATTTCTTTGAACATATGCAACACTCCTTTCAAAGAAACCCAACTGCCCTCTATTTGGACAGGAACACCATTTATTTGAAGGAAAGGCTTCACTCACCACAAGGAGAATTGTACATTCCCAAAGGCCTCACACCCAAAAGAAAATTGTGTCACATCCCCAAGGAATACCTGCGCATGTTTAGCATACAAGATTTGTTTGATTATGGTTTGTGAAGGATGCTTTTGATAGACACATAATGCCTTAGAGGCCAGATGAATCAGATTTGGTTTGGATAAATCTTGATTAATCTGGATTAAAGCTGCGACCACCAGCTTAATTATTAGCTCAGCACCTCTCCCCCACACCAGAAAGAATAAACATACAAACATTTTGGATGATTTGTTTTGGGTTGGGTTTTGGAAGGGGAGGGTACCAAGAAAAAGAAAGAAAACCAAAAAAAAAAAAGTTTTGGGAGATCTACGTTGGGATCGGGGGAGGGGAGAAGGCTCTCCAATGCATTGTTGTTTTTTGGTTTTTGTTTTATTTTGTCTTCTTGTATTTGTGTTGTTGTTGTTTTTTTGGCAGATAGCAGATAGCAGATGGTTGACCTTGCAATGAAACAGTCAATGAAATAGAAAAAAAGTAGGTCCTGGGGGGGGGTGAGCATATATATATATATAAACAATGGGATGTAATGGAGAAAACACGTGGTTTTCTTATGAGAAACCTGTGTACTGTACAATATATTGTATACATCAATATACATCAGTCATATCATATGTTGGTATAAAGTGAGATGTGACCTATTTGATTTCTATAGATTGCAGCAAGCGATCATCGCCATGGGAAATATTAGTTCAATTTGCCAATAGCAGCCCTGGCAATCAGTGTTGGGATTAGTTTTTCCCAGGGTCAGAGTCCGGTCAGAGCACAAAGAGTTACTTTCAAAATGATCAATGTCCATTCAACGAACTTTGATGTTTCGGAAAGCTAAAAAGAGACACTTGCCAGAGCAGTAGGGGTTTCAAAAATGTTGAAAACGGACTTCACGTGGACCATGACATACACTGGCAAGGTCTCGCCTCGTGGTTCAGGAAGCGATTGTGACTCGGTAACAAGTGGCCCATGACCCCCCAGAGTCACGTCGAGCCACATGGATTGGATCAGATTTGGGATCCGTCGTATTGGCAACTGTACGAATACTATGATTGTACTTGGAGCACAAGGTGCATGGAGACTATATGGAGACTATATAGATTAATGAGCGCAACAAGTGGTCGGCGGCGTTGCTTAACGGAAGCATATGGAATCATACGGAGGCCTTCTGGGCGAGAAGCATGAAACTAACTAAGACTTACTGATTGCAGATTGCTCAACAAGCAGTGCAGCTGCGCCTCGGGCACGTCGCTGAGGTTGTCAAGAATTTACCCAACTTTGTGGAGTACATGAGAAGACGCGAGGACACGGGACGACAAGGGATTTGCAAGGCCAATCTATGGTGTCGGGAAATCTGACATTTTTCAGAGTCAGGTGGAGTGATCCCAAGTGCTACTGGGATCCAGTTTTGTGCCAGCATTCCGAGCATTCCGAGCATTCCGAGCAATAGAAACGCCGCGGGGTGAATGATTCTTTAGCTGCACGTGTTCATCATTTTGCAAAGCTATGAGGCAAGCAATACTGTAGGAGATTTTCACAGCATATGAAACGCTGCATGCCCCACTTGTCGGATCTCCAGCTCAAGCGTCCAAAGCTGAGCTTCAAGGAGATAAGGAAGCACTGCAAAGCCAGCCAGGAGCTCATTGAAGCGAACAAGCTGAAAAGGTCAAAATAGATCTAAATAGCATAATAGCAAAATAGCATTGCAAATCCATGCAAATCCAATGTAGTGCCTCTAGCTTCCTAAGGTCCTCCTTCAATGATGCTCAACAACTTGGGCAACAGATCGGTTCGCAGAATATGTGCATCACGTTGCATCACGTTACTATGCGGTTCAAGGACTCTATGATAGGTGTGTTTTTCACTTATCATATTTCATACCAGTGTCAATGCCTCCAACTCCAAATAGTTCATATCATTATGTATTTGTCAAGAATATACTTCGGTACTGGCGTTGTAAAGTCATCAATGTCATGTTATGTCATGTTGTGTCATGTTTGTTTGTTGCAGGTCTGCAAAACCTTTGAACAGCTGCCGTCCAGCGGCAAGCAGTGGCGCTGGCTTTCTTGATTTCATGACCAGCTTTTGGCTTGTATTTCAACCCTTGAGGCAATGCAGACCTGACTTTCAAAGACATCCATGGACGAAACATGTTTTCTGGTTTTGATGTCGCTGGACTGCAGTTTCCCCTTAAGGGGCTCCTGTGCAGGTTTCACACCGTTTGGAGAGATACCCACAATTTGCCTGTGGATCCGATTGATGCGTCTTGGATGCATCACGAGCGAGCTCTTTCAAAGCCTAATCAGTCTTGGCACTGGTGCAAAAGGAGTATGGTGATTCGAATTCTTTCGAGTTGATTATGGTTGAGTTGCCAAAGTTTCAAGACCAAAACCATCAGTGGCTATCAGCAGCCTACTTTTTTTGCACTTGCGAGCTGCTGTTGAACGGCCAAGGCTGAGATTAATGAGTACTACTTGTTTCATGGTCCCTGCCTGAAATTGTGCACTTTTTGTGAGCGTGCCGGGAATCGGACAAGGACCAGCAGGAAGGGTTTGCCATGAAGACATAAACCATATATATATATATATATAGTTTCTAGTACAAGGGGGTGCTTGCTGCAGACTACACAGAAGTTCGTGCTCCACAGAAGTTCGTGCTATCATTGGGATACTCAAAGCCGCATTTCCTCAGCACACCCTTCAATCCCTCAGAGGCCAGGGATCCTGTCCAAGGTACTCGACCAGAATCAGCCCAGTCTATTACCGAAGGTGCCACGAAAAAAGTCGCAGATTTCAGCGTGAGCTAGGGTTTGTTCCAGATTTTCCCTTAGCTCCTCTTTGAGCATCAGTTTCAGTTTGATGTCGAACAGCTCTAGGACACTGTAGGGTCTGATGGAGCACAGCAACAGTCCAAAAGCAGCGGCATAGTGAGACAGGTGATTTTCGCCTGGACTTGGCCGGTTCCAATGTGAATTGCCTCAGCATTGCCACACCAATGTGTCTACGCTTGCAGAATCTAGCAATTCCCACCAAGGCTGGCACCCTCTATGGCAGAGGTGTGTACTTTAGTGCTTGGCTCAGCAACTGACATCTGCCGCGACTTGGCATTGTACTGTACTTCTACGGCTGGACGTCTTTCTGTGTGTGTGTGCTTGACGGAAGTCATTCACCAGAAACCATCAGAAACCATAGTCCCGATGTTGGGGCTGTAATACGTTTTGAATTGATCGAAGGTGAGAGCACAGGCAAGAGCGACGAGTGCGCCAACTCGAATGAATGCCTTTCTGCATCTTTTTACGGAAGTAACTATGGGGCTTTTGTTGTGCAAGTGAGGCATCAAAAATCATCAAAAGTTCAAACTTTGTAACCGATTGTGTCCATTGGTTCTGTGACTGTGTAATTTATTGACAAGAGGCAGTGGTGTCTGACAACAATTTCCGCATGTTTCACAAAAGATGAAGTTTGATACTTTTGGAGCATAAATAAAATGGAGCGGCATTAGAGAACCAAGTCTCTGGATGAATGGCTACAGTATGATTTTGATTGGTTTTGTATATTTCTGTTGGAGGTATGCCACTGAAGATCCTCGAGGCAGGCTGAAACCACTGGAAGTATTTTAGTGATTCTATAGATGCTCATTATGTTATACGTATCACGAAAGATCCCGCCTGAAGAGCAATGCAGCTTTGAAAGCCTCTTTTGACACTGCAGGGATTGGATCGATTGAATGTTTTTGTGTTGTGCATCTACATTGATCCTACATTGATCCAACAGGATATCACCCAAGATCAGTCTTGTATGGGTCAAAACAGAGAACGTTTGCAACTTCATGATCTTGGTAGCGTTAAAAAAACTGCATCAGATTCTAAGATGATGTGAATTCAGCGTCCAGGATGGTGCTGCATGCTCGTTTGCAGAGTTACCTTGGGCAGATTGTTGTCCTGACCTTGGAGATTTTGGAGATTTTGGAGATCTTGGAGATCTTGGAGATCTGGGATGGAGACCTTGCGGTGAAATGCTGAGGTACACAGACGAGGAGTACCCTGATACGAATGCATTAGTGAGGCACCGCGGCTGCGGCAATCCAAATCATGACCACTTTATGCCTACTCCATACCCAGACTCTCTTGCGCGAAATTCAGTGCATGGTGTGCTCTTAATTGTGCAAATGCATGCAGCAAGGAGCCTCATACGCAACTGGTCGATCTATTTGTTTCCAGGAGGTTCTCCTCAAAACGCACGTCAAACACATCAAACATTTGCGTGAGAAGAACTATAAGGATTGCTTAATTAGCTCACCATTATTGTTTCATTTGGACTTGACGATCAGGAATTGCACTCGCGGCACGTATCATTCCGTACTCGGTGATCGGGAGAAGATTCGCAGCACGCGGCAAACTCAGTGGATTCATACAGTAATAGACATCCGACATGCTGTTTACATCCATTAACAGTGCGTACGAGAGGAGTTTGAAGCCATTTTACGCACAGTGGTTTCAATATGCTTCAATCAAGGTCTCTAGATTGCTACAGAGATTATGTATGATTGTGGTATTTTCCTGATTTACAATGGCTAGGAATTGCTCAAGTACTCACCGGATCTCACCGGAATGCCGCGAGGTTTCGAGAGATGATTGTCTTTGACACAGACCAGGCCGGTTCCCTGGGTTGCTCACACATGTCCACCCAGGCAATCGGAACCAGATTTGTTTAAGCTTGGCATGAAAAAGATACACTGTTTTATACACTCTCCCTAGCCTTTTTTGTTTTATTGTGTTGTTTTCCTTGATATTGTTCCTTCTTGGCGGAAGTTCATTTAGAAGCACTCATTTCGCTGAGGCCTATCCAGAGTTTCTGGTCTGGTATTCTAGGCAGCATTGAGGCTGACAGCAGCGTTCTTCTGCTGAACACAATGTGTTCCTTGCATCTATTTGAAACATGCATGGTGTTGGTTTGCATCGACACATGATAGAATCATTGATTGTTAGTGTGCAAGGCAGAGCAGCAGCGCGCCTTTTGATCCTAAAAGAGCCTAGCAGTCAAGCTAGTTGAGTTGTGGTGCACACTGATAAGAACAGATACTTCACCTGTCCAGCATGTCACAGTCATGTACATGAACCCTTTTGCACTCCCCCCACGACTTCGTCGTGTATAAAAAGGGAGTTTTCGTGCCTTGTGTTTGGAAGGCTCTTTACAGGGCTCAAGGCTCTAAAAGAAATTGGATTTGCCAGTGACGCCAGGTTGTTGTTAGGCCCCACTGGTCTTAAAAAGTGAAAAACTACAGTGCGTAAAGACTCGCACCTTTTGGAATCAACCTCGGCACGTAAAGACTCATGCCTCAGCTGACTTGTTGGCAGTAAAGACCCTGCCAAAGAAAAATGTCCGGCCCTCAAAAGAGCATCTTTTCAAAATTGCGCTCCACCTGGATCATGCCGTAGAGCTCGAAGTCACTGACAGGGCCGGTGAATCGGATCTCACCGTCACCCTATCGGCAGCCTCTTCACGGCGCTCCACATAAACATTTGTGGAACTCGCTGCAGCTTTCGATGTTGTCGTTGGCGGACGCAACACCGGTCGCAGACCCAAGTCTGCTGCAGCTTTGGCTGGTTGAACTCCTCGTTCTGCTCGAAGTTCGCCAGTCATCCGCAACATATGGGACAACGTCGCCCTCTGACCAGGGTTTCCCATCATCTGCTGTTGTGGTGGCTGCAGACTGCCACCTTGATTACCACCATATCCTGCCGGACCTTGTGGTCTTTGCTGCATCGGCGCAGCCATTGGTGGTTGCCCTTGTGGAGGTCCAGGCACATAGTTCGGAGCTGCCCTCGCCATCGCCTTGGCCGGAGGTGGACCCATTGGAGGTGGTCCCGCTCTCACCTGAGGTGGTGGGCCCGCTGGTGGTGGACCTGGCATTGCATGTTGTACTGGAACTGCTGGTGGTTTGGCCATGCGGTTCATCCACTCCTGCATGTTCTGTTGTTGAAACCAAGCCTGAGGTGGCGGTTTCTTTCCAGGTTGAACCATCCCGTGCTCAAACGGAACCCCTGGGTCAGCCTCCTCCTCTGTGCTTTCTCTGGTCAGCCCATTCTTCGGCACAGCCACCACATTTCCTTGGAGCGCAAGCGAATGCGTCACCCCAGGAACCACTGGCCGGCGAAGCATCAAGCCCACCTGCGCGAAGTCCATCTCCACCTGCAAGCCATTGAGCACACCATATCTGTAGGTCTGCATGGATCCAACCCAACTGGTCTGATCCCACTGGACCCAACGTCCATACGTCAAAGGGATTGTTTGGCCCTGCATCAGCGCTGTCATCACCTGCTGTACATGCTGCGCTGGCGGTGCTGATGCCATGCCAAAACTTGCCTTTGCCCGCATCTGTTGCCCCAAACTTCCTGGGACCATCGGCGCCATCTCATGCTCCGGGTCGTTGCGCGTTCGCCTTGGAGGCAGCGCACTTTCCACCTCTGTGTCCTGCTCCACATTGACTTCTTCTTCAACGTTCTCTGGCTCTGCGTTGACCTCTTCCTCAACATTCGCTGGGTCACCCGCAGTGGTTGAAGTGATTGCTACCTCGGTTGCTGTGGTAGCTGTTGGTGGGTCTGTTGCAGGCCCTTCGGCTCCACCATCATCACCTCCACCATCATCTCCATCATCGCCCTCGTCCTCTTCAGGGATGACCTCCATGTCATTCTCAGAGGCCTCTTCCTCCGCAGTCTCGCTGCCATCTTCATGCAAACCATCTGCAAAAGACTCCAAGGCTTCACTGCCTTTCGCTTTGCCCTTCGCTGCGTAGTGGGCCTGCAGCTCGTGATTGGTGGCTGGTTTGCCTTTTCCAAGTCGTGCGACAGAGGTGCGACTTGTACTGCTGCTGCTGCCAGCTTGGCCTGGGGTGGTGCCGCTTTCCGTCATCTTCTGAACATCTGCAGCGTAGTCCACCGCTGCTGTAGCTGCCTCCACCGCCAGAGCCACCTCATTGGAGTCCTCGCTAGTGACATTCACCTGGTCGGCTGTGCGCAACGCCTGGACCGCCTTTGCATTGGCCGTCGCCAGGAGGATGCTTCTCCTCTGTTCAGCCGGCGTATCGCCACGCCCCATCAGCACCGGGGCTGCCTGCGCTGAACCTTTTCCTCCTTGGTCATGTGTGAAGAGCTGGCGGGGTCGACAGCCCTTGGCGAAGATCCTTTGCCAGGACAGGTTTGGACTGAGCGCCCCATGGATGATCGTTGACCCATCCTTGCCAGTCTCCACGTCCTGCTTGGTGCCTCTGCCACGTCCCCGAAACCAGTATCCAGGGGGTCGCGCCCAAGCCATTCTTTGCCTCTTGACATCCAGGGTTGTGCATGTCCTACGTGGACTTTCTTCTTCATCTTCATCTTCATCATCCGCTGGAGGGTCCGGCCCATGGTCTCGTTCTGGTTCTCGTCGATTTCGACGATCTCGGCCAGGATCATCTCCATCTCCACCTGGTGGGGGCATAGCCATTGCACCATGCTTGCCCTCCAACTGCACTTGCCTTTCAGTCTGTGGGGGCTGCTCCTCATCCACAGCCTCTGAAACCAACTCATAGCTCCCATCAGACTGCGTGTCATCCACCTGTTGCGCTGGTGGTCTTGGAGGTCGCTCTTGTGGTTCTGGTTCTCGAAGACGTGGATCATAGTTGCGGATCGGCACGTACTCAAACCCAAAGCGACTGCCCCTCATCACTCTTGTTCCCATTGCTGCTTGTCCACGTTGTTGAACTGGTCCAAGCTGTTGGGGTTCTGTTCCAGCCCAAATGGCCGAAGTTGTAGGGCTCAACATTGCCACCCTACCACGTTCAGACACCTTGCCAGTGCCCTTTCCTTTCTGGTCAGGCTGACCATCCATCTGGCCTTGTTGGCCTTTGTAGTGACCTCCTTGGCCCTTTCCATGGCCAGGCTGACCATCATCTTGGCCATTGTGGCCTTTTCCCTTGGTTGCCCTCGAAGTCGGCAGTGAAGAAGTTCCTGTTGCCGAACTCCCTGACGACCTCGCCGTGCTCTCCATGGCGTGTCGCCCGGCACCCAAAACCTCAGTTGGCGGCTCGAGCCCAAGGTCCTCAACAGAGAAGTCCTCAATCGGATCTCCTTCAAGTCCATGCCATTGCTCAGCACGACCAACCAAGTTGCAGTTGAAACCATGCCCATCCCCTTGGCGCCTCTTCGAAAGACCTTGTTGTTGACGTCTCTTCCCATGGCTGACTTTGAGCGCCCGAAGTTGCGGCCCGTGGCAGCCCGAAGGGCAGTTGTCAGGGTTTTGAGATGATCTTTGTGGGGAAGAAACTTGATCCCTTCGAGGATAGTACTCAGCACTAAGACTACGCTCCATGTTCGAAACCCTAAGGTTTCCTTTCCCCTCCACATCGATCATCCCTTTTGGGGAAGGTTTCATGGCCTCCTTTTGGCTCTTGTTGGGCGGTTCATTTTCCCTGCCCTCTTCTCGCATGGTGGGTTCATTTGGGGCCCTCACCATGGTTTTCATCAACCTACAGGGTGGTTCATCTTCCCTACCCTCATGTCTCAACGCCGGTTCATTTGGTGCCCTGACGTTGGCTTCTTCCATGTCAGTTGGTTCATTTTCCCTAACTGACCATGGTGGGGAAGGTTCATTATCCCTTTCCCTCTTTTTCATCATCCAACATGCAGCAACGATGAGGCCCAGACCAGTTTCTTGACACTGAGAGTCATCTGTCTCCATCAGCGTCTGGCCAGTTGAGAGAAGCCTCACTACTATCTCTTCCTCAGCTCTCAGCTCATCTTCTGCACGTCGTAGATCGTTGAGATCGTCCAGGTAGATGGAGTCCACAAAGTTGTCCATCTTTGGTCCTTGAAGCGGTTTCGTCGCTCCATCAGCTGGAAGCACCAAACCACTGACATGCCTCGCACACCATCGCGAGAGCTCATCTTGAAACGCTTCTCGAAGTCGAGCATACCTGATCCTCAGATGTCTTGTTCTCCAACTACCTGTGTCATTGGTGCACAAGTGAAGTGCGCTTTTGGAATCGCAGTTGAGGGTCTTGTTGATGTCCCCGACGCCCATCACCTCCAGGAGTGCTGCAAGGCTTTCACCACACTGGAAACCTTCTCCACAGCTCACCAGTTCGCTTTCGGCTGTTGAAGTGGTAACAAACGGCTGTCCGCCACTTGCCCATGCGATGGGAGAACCCCCAACACATAGTATCACCCCAGTCACCGACTTGTAGTTCTCATGCTCCAGGGCGTGCGAAGCATCCACAAACACCTCCAAGTTGTTGATCGACACCTGCGTGGCCAGCTCATCATTGCGACCATACGGTTTTTGTGCTGAGGTCTCTTCATGTAGTGCAAACCCTTTGAACTCGTTGCACTCAAATACCTCAGTAACTCATCTCCAAGCTTGACCACATGTCTTGCTCGTCGGTGCGCAAGACGTGCCATGACACCAACATGATACACCATGTCAGGTCGTGTTCGGGTAACCAACCACTGCAGTTCCCCAATGACTTGTTGAGCTTGACGAAGATCTCCTGTTTGCACCTCCTCAGTGTCGTCTTCGCCCAAGTTGGCAAACAAGTTCTTGACTGGTGCCATGCCAGCCTCCATGCCATGTCGTTTCAGGACGTCCTTGAGGTATCCACATTGATGTAGAAAGAACCCGTCCTTGACCTTGGCAATCTCGTATCCACAAAACTTCATTTGGTGGTCTTCAGTGACCATTTCTGGTGGGCTGCATGTCCACCTCCTTTGTACAGCTTCCAACATCGCATTGGCTTGTTCTTGTGGAGCTCCAACTAGAAAGTCATCAACGTAGGTTGCCAAGAAGCCTTGTGAACCTGGCTTCCAAGAGCTTGTCATCTCCACTGGGGTCACCATCCATAGGTG